CTTAGACAGATCCTTTACAGCGTCGGCAGCAGGGGCAGGGAGCTTTCCCTCAGTGTGTAAAAACAGGGAAACGCCATCCTTAGACTCGCTCTGCAGGAACAGCTGGAGATCGTCGAGCCAGACATCAAAGGTAATCGCGCGGCCCTCAGCATCGAACGTAAGAACTGACAGGTTAGCCATAGCAGCAGTAGCAGCTGTAGCAACTGCAGTAGTAGCAGCAGCAGCAGTAGCACTAGCTGTAGCAGCAGCAGTTGCAGCAGTAGAAGCAGTGACAGCTCGGGTTGGGCGGCGCGGCTCGGACAGGGCGGCGCGGCTCGGGCTCAGTGGCAGAGCAACAGCGGCAAGCAGCAGCAGCAGCCGGTGCTCAGTAGCAGCAGCAGCAGCAGCAAGGAGGAGCAGCTGCAGCAAGTAGCAGCAGCAGCAACAAGGAGGAGCAGCTGCAGCAAGTAGCAGCAGCAGCAGCAAGGAGGAGCAGCTGCAGCAAGTAGCAGTAGCAGCAGCAAGGAGGAGCAGCTGCAGCAAGTAGCAGCAGCAGTAGCAGGGCAGTGCAGGCGGCAGCAGCACTGCTGTTAAGATACCTAGGCAAAAGGTAATTGAATTAGGTCAAGGTGGGTACAAGACTAGGGTGTCGAGGAACTTTGTGTACCCCCTAGTGCTAACCCCCATACAGCCTAGCTAACCTAAACAGGTATATATATATAATTTGACACACCCCCATAGGCGAAATGGGGGATAGCCAGGGCAAGCAACGGTCACAAGACCAGTCAAGAGAAGAAACAAAACACAGCTCAGGGTGGATCACAACGTCACCACGCAGTCTGAGCACAAGCAAAGGCCACAAGGCCAGTTCACATGCAGAGATATATATGTAACAACAACAGCACAGTGATCTCTACCTACTAGAGCAAGCATGCAGGTATATATATAGATCACGGTACAAACAAAGCCTACAGCAAGTGAGGAAAAGTGGGCACAAGCCCCAGCATAGTGCAAAAGCGCTGATGATCACCAGGCTGAAGTGCCTTGGTGAATATATCAGCGGTGTTGGCCTGAGTGGCCACGTAACGCAGACGAAGCTGACCGCGCTGCTGCAGCTCTCGAGCCAGGAAGTAACGGAGAGCGATGTGCTTCGTTCTGTGCTCCAGTCTGTGCTCCTCACACAAGGCAATGGCAGCCTTGTTGTCGACGTACAGCACTGGAGGAGAACTAGGCCGCTCTCCCAAGTCAGTCAGCAGGTAGGTCAGCCAGCGTAGCTCCTGTGCAGCCATGGCTGTGGCGTAGATCTCAGCCTCACAACTGGAGCTGAGAACTGAAGACGAGCGAGTAGAACGCCAAGAAACTGAACCAGAGCCAAGGCTGAAGGTGTAACCCTGTGACGACCGCTGAGTAGCCTGGTCGTCAACCCAAGAAGCGTCTGAGTACCCAGTGAGAACAACTGAGCGTCTCCCTCCAAGCACGAGCCCCATGACTGACGTACTGCACAAGTAACGCAGTACCCTCTTAGCAGCATCCATGTGCACCTTTCGGTGCCGACCAGGAGCCACGTAGCGAGCCAGAAGGCCAAGAGGGTACGCAAGGTCAGGACGAGTGCAAGTCATCAGGTACATGAGGCAACCAACTAGCTCTGGGTAAGGACCACTCGGCTCTACGGACTCGTCCGAAGGTGGAGCTGAGAGCGAGTGACCTGTAGCCAGAGGAGTGGCCTGTGCCGAGGACCAGGTGAAGCCGAAGCGCTGAAGGACCTGCTGCACCATGTGTGACTGAGTCAGTGTGATGGTGCGACGTGCTCTGTCCCGGGTGATCCGCAAGCCAAGATAGCTTGTCAGCTCACCCAGGTCTGTGCACGTGTGTCTCTTCTGCAGCTCCGACTTCACGTGGGCTAGAGCCTCAGTGTCAGCAGTGGCAAAGACCAAGTCGTCGACGTACACGAGGATGTAGAACGGCGGCAGCGAAGTGTCGGTGCGCAGAAACAGCGACGGGTCAGCAGTCGACGGGGCAAACCCAAGAGCCGCAAGAGTCGTCCTCAGTGTGTCGTGCCACTCACGTGGCGCCTGGCGGAGACCGTAGACTGGCCGTCGGAGGCTCCACTGGGTACCAGGAGGGAACGACCCAGTGAAGCCAGGTGGACGGCGCAGCCAGATCTCCTCGTGCAGGCTGCCCTGCAAGAAAGCTGTGCTGAAGTCAAGAGAATGAAGCTCGTAGTCACGCTGAGCGGCAACGTGTAGCAGCACCCGAAGAGTAGTCATCTTCGGGGTGGGGGAGAAGGTCTGGAAGAAGTCAACTCCCTCTCGCTGACTGAAGCCTCGAGCAACGTAACGAGCCTTGAAGACCGGTGGAGAACCTGGCGGCCGCTTCACCCTGAAAATCCACATGCCACTGACGATGTTCGCCCCAGGAGGGGGAACCTCGTCAACGTACGTGCCTGTGGACTTCCAGGATGCCATCTCTGCGTCCATGGCTGTCTGCCACTGAGAGGAGTAGGGACCCTCGATCACCTCAGCGTACGATTGTGGAGTCGGGATGTCTGGTGCATCCGGGTCTCCCTCAGGGGCAAGCAGCATGGACACGAGATGAGGCGCAGCGGCTGCAAGACACTCAAGGTCCTCCTGCCTGTCCTCAAGGACGTCCGTGCCAAGAGCACACTCACCCCCGACGGACGGAGGACAGACAGACTCAGACTCAGCAACAAGACGAGCGGCGTAGTCTAGACGACAGTGAGCAGCAAAGTCGACAAGCTCAGCGACCAAGGCAGACGGTTCCTAATCGCTAGGCGTGCAGCAGCATCGCGAGTCTGCCACTGCGAGCGTTCGAGAGCAGGAGCATCAGCAGCAGGAGCAACGGCAGTGCCAGACACGTAATCGAACAGTGAAACGCCCTCTTTGGCATCAGTCAGAAGGAACAGTTGCAGGTCATCTAGCCACACAGTGAACTCTATGGGGCGACCGTCAGGTTCGAACGCGAGAACATTAGGCGTCGTCATAACAGCAGTAGGCAAAGGCAGCAAAAAGCAGGCAGGCAGTAGACACGAGGCAGTAGGCAGTAGGCAGCAGGCTAAAACTTAGGCAGTAGGCAGTAGGCAGTACAGGCAACGTGCAGGGCAGTACTTGCTGCACCCGAGCTCCGAAGGTGGGGCTCTAGACTGTGAAAGGCCGTACAGTGTGAAGGCAGTGGGTTCGGCAGCAAGGAGCCTTACAGGCAAGCACACAGGTAGGGCGCGCGCGGCTGCTGGCTGCGTAACCCTAAGGGCCGCACGTGGCTCTCTGCTGCGCGTGGCTACGTGCTGCGCGCGGCTCTGGCTGCACGTGGCGACGGGCGGCGGGCTCTACGTCGTGCGTGGGCGGCGGGCTCTACGTCGCGCGTGGGCGGCGGGCTCTGCTTAGGCTGCGCGCGGGCGGCGTAAGGGGGGGCGCGCGGGCTCGACGTGGGCTACGCGGGCGACGCCGACCGGCGCGCGGCTCTACAGCAGGGTCGCGCGCTAGAAACTGAGGCGCGCGCGAGAAAAAATTAAGTGACGCGCGCTGCCGCCGAGGCGCGCGCGGTCAGGAGATAAGGCTAACAGGCAGGCAGGCCGTTGGTAACACGGTAACGGGTGGGCCCTTAATCTCTTAGGTCCTAAGAACCTGCTCTAGATGCCATGTTAAGATACCTAGGCAAAAGGTAATTGAATTAGGTCAAGGTGGGTACAAGACTAGGGTGTCAGGAACTTTGTGTACCCCCTAGTGCTAACCCCCATACAGCCTAGCTAACCTAAACAGGTATATATATATATAATTTGACAACTGCAGCATCAGTTCAGGCGCAGCAGCGAGTGCAGCAGTAACACGGGCCGCGTGCGGGCCAGGCATGGGCTGTAAGGGCTGCGTGCGGGCCTGTCGCGGGCTGTACGAGCTGCGTGCGGGCCTGGCGCGGGCTGTAAGGGCTGCGCGCGGGCCTGGCGCGGGCTGTACGAGCTGCGTGCGGGCCTGGCGCGGGCTGTACGGGATGCGTGCGGGCCTGACGTGGGCTGTACGGGCTGCGCGATGGCCTACGCGGGCTGTACGGGCTTCGCGACGGGCCTACGCGGGCTGTACTGGTTGCGCGCGGGCCTGGCGTGGGCTGTACGGGCTGCGCGACGGCCTGGCGTGGGCTGTACGGGCTGTGCTCGGGCCTACGCGGACTGTACGGGCTTCGCACGGCAGAAAAGGGCAGGGCAGCGCGAAACGCTGGGCAGGGCAGAAACGAATGGTCGGGCAGGTGAAAACGAATGTGGTGGGCCCTTAATTACGGTCCTAGGCTAGGAACGTCCTAGCTCTTAATACCATGTTAGAATACTAGGAAGGAATGTGGATTAGGTCGGAGGGAGGGGGTACAAGGATGTCGAGAGAGTTGGGTTGTACCCTCTAAGGTGTGACCCCTACACAACCTAGAGTAAGATGAACAGAACAATATGTTTTGACAATCACGTTCTCTTTATAGAAGTCTTCCGCGCACTCTGTTTAGTACAACTCATAACAGATATCCCCAAAATGTGAAACCAAATATTTAGGGTTGCTACGCAACCCAAAAATTGCCTCTTCCGAAATCAAACTCGCGTTCAAGCTTTTCGTGTGTGCGGTGTGAATCAGTTGGGTTCCCACAGGGAACTGCACCACGCTTGTGCGCAGCCTGCGAATTCGCACGCAGCACCACACCAATGCTTGAGGTCACCAAAAATGTAAACACTCCCATCTCCCGACTCGGTGAATATCTTGCCTGAGACCAAGAATGCAGTGCTCTCGCTTGCTCCAAGTTAGTTTCACAGGACTGAGAATTGAAATTCCGTCTACGCGCTTCTTTCACACTCATACCCTCCTACCCCACGCGCTTCTGCTCATTCCGACCACGTCTTTAAGTTGCTTCTCGTCGGCGACTCGGGCGTGGGGAAGAGCTGTCTGTTGCTGCGATTCACCTCAGACACATATGACGACATGTCGCCCACTATAGGTTCGAATTAGTCCTTATGACTTTTGAGTCGTCTCAAAATGAAGAGCTGTCTGTTGCTGCGATTCACATCAGACACATATGACAACATGTTGCCTACTATAGGTCCGATGCGAATTGGTCCAGCTTGAACCCGTTTGGGTAGTTAGCGATAGTAGACGAAGCCTGAACGAATAAAACTGACTCGTCCTGAGCATGTCTTTCTACACGCCACGCTTGCATGCATCAATTCACTCGTTCTTCGAGCGCCAGCACCACGCATTCGCCCATTCTCCAGTCGTCCCATCCTTCCTCCTTTCCTTCCTTCCTTCCTTCCGTCCTTCTTTCCTCCTGCACAGACCTGCCCTTATCTAAACTTAGACCCATTCATCTCTCCCCTGCTTTACCATACATCCCAACCCTGTCTCCCCCCTCCCACCTCCCACCTCCCGCCATTCACGTGCCTGTCCGTGGCCCGCGCGACCCCCCTTCCCTCACCCCCCAGGAGTGGACTTCAAGATCAAATCCGTGATTGTCAACGGCAAGCGGGTGAATCTCAACATCTGGGATACAGGTCCGTTCTGCGCCCCACCTTGCCAATCACACCACACAAGGAGCAACCGAGGTGCCTCAGTTACTGAGGCTCCTTCAAAATCGTCTCTCGCACACAACACAATCAAGCGGGCGATATGCCTCGTACCTTCCCTGCTCCCTCCTACAGTCTGTGCCGCGTTCCTCTCAGCGCTCTCACATTCCTTCCCTCCATCCTTCTTCCCATCCCATCACCTCCCATTGTTCTATCACTCCTCACTCACTCCTATGTCCAGAGCCCGTTCTCTGTCTTACCCCTTCCCAATCCGCTCCACCTCCCCCTGTCGTTTCCGTTCTCGTCCATGTGTCACCAGCTGGGCAAGAGCGCTTTCGAACGCTCACCAGCTCCTACTACCGAGGGGCTTCGGGAATCATTCTAGGTGGGTTGCACTAGCCGCTTGCTTGTGTGGCACTTGAAGTGTGTGTCAGCCAGTGCAACGCACTCAGTTGGTCGCTCTCTGCCATCCACTCAGTCACTCACTCACTCACTCACTCACTCACTCACTCACGCACGCACTCAATCTGTCATGCTGAAGATGACTTGATGACTTCTTGTATCATCCTTCCTTAATCCGGTTATTCTGCAAAAGTGAACAAAGGTGCTTCCCACAGCAACCTCCTCCTTCAATGTTATTCTGCTGTGTGGTGAAGTCCCACTCTCCTTTTCCACCATTCCCTTCCCCCCGTCACGTTTCGTTATTCCCTCGTCGTTCCCCGCCCCAGTCCCCCTTCTTCCCCTCCTCCATTTCCGCGCGCCCCCTCCCGTCCCGCTCTCTTGCTCTCCCTCCCTTTCCCCCTCTCACCCCCACCCACCCCCATGCAGTGTACGATGTGACGCGCAGGGAGACGCTAACGAGTGTGGTGGACGGGTGGATGGAAGAGGTGCAGCGCTACTCCACACTGCCCGGCTGTGCGCTCATGCTCGTGGGCAACAAGGCCGACAGGGTGAGTGCATGATAGGTGATGTTTTGAGATTCGAGACGTCTAAGTACGCAAGGGGTGGATGGAAGAGGTGCAGCATTACTCCACACTGCCTGGTTGTGCGCTTATGCTCGTGGGCAACAAGGCCGGCAGGGTGAGTCACAGAGTGCAGGGGGGTCTATTCCTTAGGCGCCTCACGATGGCGGAGGAGGTGCAGAGTTACTCCACACTGCCTGGCTGTGCCCTTATGCCCATCGGCAACAAGGCTGAAAGGGTCAGTGCATGGGAGGTGTTGGTTTGAGATGTTTCGGAGCTTGATAGCGTGATTGAGTGAATTAGTGCGTGAGTATGTGTGTGGGTGGTTGAGTGAGTATATGTGGTGAGTGAGTAAGTGACTGAGAGAGTCGGAGGTTGAATGGGTGAGTGAGTGAGTGAGTGAGGGAATAAAACAGCATTGAATGAGTGGATGAATGAGTGAGTGAATGAGTGATTTAGTGAGCGAGTGAGAGAGCAGCAGTGGGACGGTATGGCAGTGTGCGGTCTGTGCTGCAGAGTCTTCCTTGGGGCCATACAACCGTGCTCTCTATTCATTCACAGAGCCACACTGCACTATGTGCACGCACAACGTTAAAGCTCGCGTCTCATATTTCTGTGTCCCAACCAAGTGTTAAACGCTTGGTATCCGGTAACCCTCAAACTGTCGCACAACTCCACTGAAGGTTGGCCCAGGTTGAAACGATTGGTTGGGAACCTACAAACTTGCTTGGCGGTATGCGCAGGGACGTGCCAAACCAATCATGCGATCGTGCACCCAGGTAGGTTTGGAAAACACACCTGCACGGGGACAACACGATCGCCCAAACTCCCCCACCGGCGACCAGGTTGTCGCACGAATCAAGCATTTACAACAGCTGAAAAATATGAGACTGACAGAACTCAGAAACCCGATTTCGCACTAGCACTAGGCTCAGGTTCAAGAGTAAAACTCTTTCCACTAGCAACCGCGGTTACCTCTTACACAAAAGTTAGATTCTCGTTGATCAGCATATACGGCCGACCTATAAACTTGAAATTAGGTCTTCATTTATCAGTATCAGCGGCGACCAGGGTACATCCCGTGCTTATCGTGAACCATGTCCAGGTAATGAGGCGCGCCAGGTAAGGGACGCGATGGGGCAGGACGGGACAGTACGGGAAGCGACGGGACTGGACAGGACTGGACGGGAAGGGACTAGAGGGACGGGACGGGACGGCACAGGAAGGTAAGAATCTCGACGAGGGGCCGGGAGGGGACGTGACGGGAAGGCGGGATGCGACGAGACCGGACGCAAATGGAAGGGAGGGAAGAGGAGCACGCGGAAGGGGCGGGATGCGACGGTACGGGGCGGAAACGGGAGGGACGGGAGGGGACGCGACGAGGGGGCGTGCATGCAGGGGGTCATGCATGAATGCAGGTCCTTGGCGTAGCAGGGTGAAGAGCACATCGTGTAATACAGCACAGCACAAGAACAGCGCACAGTGCAGCAGCGCCTGGACGAGTGGGGCGATTGCGAGCGCAAGTGCAGCCAGTGGCGCGAAGCCGCCAAACATGTCCCAAAACTCGGTCGTCCAGCTTGCCGTCGACTGGTTGCAGGGGGGATGGGGGCCGAGCGGGGGAGTGGGAGAGGGAGCGAAGCAGGAGCAAGTAGGGAGCGGAGGAGCGGAGAAAGGAGGGGAAGGGCGGGAGAGAGGCGGCGGAAGAGGGAGAGAAAGGAGCGGGAGGAGAGCGGGGGAGAGGCGGGTTGGAGTGGAGGCGGGGAGAAGGAGCAGGGGGGGGAGGGGAGGGGGTAGGTGGGATGTGGAGGGGAGGAAATGGGAGGGGAGGTGAGTGGAGACAGGAAATGCGCTCCTGCTTGCCGGCGTTCATCCTCCCTATCTCCGTTCTCTCCTCCCCAACCCCTTTTCCTTTCCCCCACCCCCCTTGCCTTTCCACTCATTCTCCCTGCCGCCCTGATTAGGTGCGAACGACGGGTTGCGATAAATCCCGTCATTCCCCCTTCTGCTCCCCATCAATTCCCGCTCTGCTTTTCCATCAATTTCCCCTCTGCTCTCTATTTCCCCCCCTGCTTCTCCTCCGTTCCCCCCCTGCTTCCCCCCATCCCCTTCCCTGCTTCCCCCCATCCCCTTCCCTGCTTCCCCCCATCCCCTTCCCTGCTTCCCCCCATCCCCTTCCCTGCTCCCCCCCATCCCCTTCCCTGCTTCCCCCCATCCCCTTTCCTGCTTCCCCCCATCCCCTTTCCTTCTTCCCCCCATCCCCTTTCCTGCTTCCCCCCATCCCCTTTCCTGCTTCCCCCCATCCCCTCAGCCCTCCTTCCCCCCACCCTCTGCCCTGTTCCACCCTGCCCTCCCCATCCCTGCCTTTCCCTCCCTGCCCTGCGCTTCCCTTCCCCATCCCTTCTCAACCCTTCCCTTCCTTTTCATGCCCTCCCCTTCCCCTTCACACCTCACCCGCCCACTACTGTAGTTCCCATGCATGTGCACCCATCACTGTCTCCCCACATGCTTTCATCATGTGCGCTTGCTTGTGTTCCCTTGCAGTTGTTCCTTTGGCACCTCACACCACCTCCCCCATGTTCCTTCACACAATTATTCCTGCCTACTCCACTCCCTGTATTTTCAGTGGTGAAGCAGAGGAGCAAGCTGAGGCGCAGCTAAAGCTAGTCCACGCTCTATACCGTACCACCACCTGTTTTTCTTGTGTGTTGTATGCAAGCATGATACTGTATTAGTGTAGGAGATATCCATATCAAAGGCACAATATGTACTTTTCTTTCTGCAGTGCAAGATATTCTTCCAAGATGTATGGACACTGAGAGTGTCAGAAGGATAGAGGCATGTCCCTAATACTGGCATGTTCCTATACTGGCTTGTAGCTTGTAGCTTTGCGTATGCATTACAGGTTGTATGACACCTGGTGTCGCAATGGTGCCTCAAATCCATGAGAAGGCAGGGAGGTGTGATGGAAAGGCAGGGAGATGGGTAGTAAGTGAGGGGAGATTTGAAGGGACGGAGGGTGAAAAGGGAATACAAGCGAGTAAACATGAGTTAATAAGATGCATGTATGGGGCAAAAGTGATGGCAGCACATGCACATGAACTGGAGGGCAGAAGGCGAGGAGTGACGTAGAAGGGCGGGGTCGAGAAGGGAAGGGCAGGGAGGAAAGGGCAGGGATGGGGATGAAGGGGAGGGGAGGAAGGGGAGGGAATGATGGGGAGAGAAGGAAGGGAAGGGGAGGAAGTGGAGGGAAGGAAGGGAAAAGGGGGGAGGGGAGATTGGTTACAGGAAGGAAGGGACGGCGGTGAGGATTGCGAGAGTGAGAATGGCAGGAAGAGTGTGAGAGGGCAGACGGGCCTTGTGATGTGGCCCACAAGAGATGAGAAGGAAAACGAGATGGTGGGAGGCATGAAGGAGATAAGGAGAGAAGCAAGGAAGGCAGGGAGAGGTGGTGGGAGGCATGAAGGAGAGATGGAAAAGGGGAAGCGGGATTGGAAAAAGGGGTGAATGAAAAGTGAGAATTCGGTAAGAAGGTGAGTGACGGGGGAAACAGAGTGGGCAGAGGGGAGAAAGGGTGAGTGTGGGGGAAAGAGAGTGAGCAGAGGGGAAAACGCGTGAGTGAGGGGTGAAAGAGAGTGAGCAGAGGGGAAACGGGTGCATAAAAGGGGGGTAATAGAGCCTGCAGGGGGGGAAATGAGGGCGTGCAGGGGGGGAAATGAGGGCGTGCAGGGGGGGAAATGAGGGCGTGCAGGGGGGGAAATGAGGGCGTGCAGGGGGGGAAATGAGGGCGTGCAGGGGGGGAAATGAGGGCGTGCAGGGGGGGAAATGAGGGCGTGCAGGGGGGATGCCGCGCGAGGAGGCGAGAGGAGCACGCACGGGGAGGGGAGAGGAGCACGCGCGGGGAGGCGAGAGGAGCACGCACGCGGAGGGGAGAGGAGCACGCACGCGGAGGGGAGAGGAGCACGCACGCGGAGGGGAGAGGAGCACGCGCGGGGAGGGGAGAGGAGCACGCGCGGAGAGACGAGAGGAGCACGCACGGGGAGGGGAGAGGAGCACGCGCGGGGAGGCGAGAGGAGCACGCACGCGGAGGGGAGAGGAGCACGCACGCGGAGGGGAGAGGAGCACGCACGCGGAGGGGAGAGGAGCACGCGCTGGGAGGGGAGAGGAGCACGCGCTGAGAGGCGAGAGGAGCACGCGCGGGGAGGCGAGAGGAGGCGAGAAGGGGATATTGGGCGGCAGAAATGGGAGATCGGGCCGCGGGAACGGGAACTCGGGCGGGTTGCACGGGAGATCGGTCGGCGAGCAGGGGAGATGGGGTGGCGGGGAAGCGGAGGTCGGGTGGTGGGAAGATGACGGCTATTACCTAATCATAAGCATAGGCAAAGGGGAGCGCTACTGCTGCTCACCCCTGTTACGTGACATTCTTTGTCCTTTTGACGCCTTTGGATAGGAGCTAGGTTACTAATGGAGTGGTAATGCTTCTACTACGTGTAAGGAGGTAGGGCTGGAGTGCTAACCTTGGCGCTTGATTTTTCCCTATCACTTCACTCCCTTGCACAATCTGTGTTCCCGTCGTCAGTGTTGGTCGCACAAAGTGCAACTTCCCAAACCTGTCACGCAAGAGGTTCGGATGTGACCCAAACCTGCGCCTGAGCTCTTGTGTTGGCCTCAACACTTTGGAACTTCGCGCATGTATTTCCCCCGCTCGTCAAAAAACTCGTCACTCGTAAACCAATCAGGATCTTACTTTCCCAACCAAGTGTTAAACACTAGTAAATATGAGACGCGAGCTTTAACTTCCCAACATCCACAGGAATCAGCATCTAAAACATCTCCAAACCCCGTCTCCTTCTCTACCCACCGCATGACCTTCATAGAAATCGAATTCCCGAGACGTTCCAAAACCCTGCCTCTCGCTCACTGTCCCGCTGTGCGAACCACCCGACAGGAAGCGGATCGCGAGGTGGGCAAGGAGGTGGGGGCGGAGCTGGCTCGCTCCTGGGGCTGCCTGTTCCTCGAGTGCTCCGCTAAGACCCGCCACAACGTGCAGCAGTGCTTCTCCGAACTTGTGCACAAGGTGGGGGATGAGGCGGGTGAGGGGAGGAGGAGGGGTGGATGGGATTTTTGCTGCATGTTTCAGGCGGCTGGAAAGGGGGAGGGGGTGTGTTGGTTGCTTTTTTATGCTGCAAGGTGAAGGGGTACTGTGTCGACCATGCTTCTCTCTCTTCATTCCATCTTTTCAGAGTAGATTTCCTGTTTCATTTTCTCCCTAGCCCCAGTGTTCGAGTTTCAAATGCACGCACTTTCTCCGCCGTTTCTTCTGCTCTCCCCCCAACCACTCTCCCTCGCTGTGTCTCCTCACTCAACCCGTCCCGCCCTCCTTCCCATCATCCACTAACGGCATCACGCACCTTTTTCTCACCATCCGCATCAATGTGTACGATAGATAATGGAAACGAGCACCTTGGTCGACCCAAGCTCGGCAGCACATTCGGATCTGCCCAGGAACCTGCAACCCAGACAAGGGGAGAGTGGCGGCGGCACAGGCTCATGTGCTTGTTGACATTGACAGTGGCTTGAGAGAGGTCACTTGTCTATTCCAATCTGTTGCACACTGGCAGAGGGGCAGAGGTCGTGGTGCCGGGCAGATACATGAACATTGGATGCTGCTGGGTGGTTGCTGCTGATGCACTTGCGGGTACAGATTAGGGGGCATATCGCATGTAAGGTAGAGGTATCGTTGTCAGGCTGTGTTTTGTATGAATGCAAATAATTTGTAAGCCTCATTTGCACTGACTGTAGTAGGCTACTGTTCAGTGGCTCTGCACACTCGGAGCCTCTACTGGAAGTTGAGTTATGATTTGATGAGCCGTTTCTCTTGGTTAGTCTTCCAAGTTATTCAGATGTATGAATGCGAAGTATTGTCTTCCGATCATCGTTCAAGTGTATCATTACAAAATGGGGCATCGTTGCCATGCCATTTCTACCTGAATATCAATGACAGAGAGAAAAAGGTGTAAAAAATCCTGGTTCTACTAGTCAATCCGAAAGAACCACTTGTAAACATCCACAGCTAGCCACTTCTTGCAACCTCCGCCAACCAGTCGAAAGGGAACGTGTGAAGAGCAGTAACAGTGACATGAGTAAGCCCGCACCTACTCCTGCAAGAGCACACAAAGCAAGCCTGGCAAACTGCACTCCTCTCCCCTCCTCTCTCCCCTCCTCTCCCCTCCCCTCCTCTCCATCCTCTATCCCTCTACGCAGCAGCCGGTTCCGAATCCGTCCCAGCGCCCTCCTCCCCACCCGCACCTGCACCCGGTGCAGCCACCGCCTCAACCACCTCCACCACCTCGACCTTGTACGCGAAATCCGCGGGGATCCACGCGCGGCTCTTGGCGGTCTCTGCAAGCGCGGCAAACTGCAGGAACGCATTGGGGAGGTCGAGCACGAGGTCGGGGAGGGCATCGGCGACGCGCTGGAAGCCGCGGGCCATCTGGTTGGTGGAGATGAGGGCCTCGTCCGAGGCCTCCTGGAGGAGTTCTAGCACACGCGGCTCGTGCTTCGGCTCCTCCATTGCTCGCACCAACGCCTGCTTCACAATCTGCGGGGCGGGGAGGGGGAGTGGTGGAGAGGGTGTGCGGTGGGGTGCGGTCGGGTGGGGAGGGAGCGATGGAGGTGCATTGTTGATGTTGGTGTGTTCCAACAAAATCAAGTGCTCATAAAAGAAGCATCCCACATCCACATGTCCATCCCCTCCAAATCCGCATCCCCATCCCCATCCCCATCCCCATCCCCATCCCCATCCCCATCCACAAACACTTCCAAGAGTCGCCATCGCCACGCGCACGCCTATGTGGAGAAAGACGCGTCCTGCGTCTTGGACGCATGCGTCCAGACGCATGCGTCCAGACGCAGGACGCAGGATGCTGGCCTTTGAGACGCAGCAAAAGACGCAGGCCCGGGCAGGGAAAAAAAACCCCGGGCAGCCCAAAAAAAATGTTATAGGGCAGAGGGAAGTGGGGGGGGGGTACCGTAGCCCACATTCATTGCAAAATTTCTCCCCAAAGACAAAATTTCCCCCAAAACACTAGAGCATGATGGTGAGTTGCAAATTTCTTAAGGGGGTTAGGGGTTTCGAAAGGGGTTAGGTGGCTGTTTTTGTAGGTCGAAATTGGTTAGGGGGGTAGAAATTTCGCGAAAATGACATTCGCGACGAAATCGCGAATGTCAATTTCGCGATCGCGAAATTATTTTTTTTCGGGCAGCCCGAAAAATTTTCTGGCGTGCGTCCTGCGTCCGGACGCGCGTCCTGCGTCTCTGCGTCCGGACGCTGCGTCCGGACGCAGGACGCAGGACGCCCCCAGCGTCTTTCTCCACATGGGCGCACGCACCTCGTGGTGGAAGAAGGGCAGGTTGAGCTCGCGGATGCAGCGGCACGCCTCGCCAAGCTCCCCACCGGCCACATACTCGGATAGCAGCGACGTGACGCTCTCCTTGGCGTCCGCCACGCTGCGCCCCACTGCCGCACTGCCCCCCCAGCACCGCAGCAGCCGCTCGCCCGCGTGCCGCGCTGTGATCAGCGCCTGTGCCATGTGCACCACCTCCCTCGCCAGCGACGACGCCGCCACTGCCGCCAACGCCGGCCCGCCGCCCCCCACTGCTGCTTCCTCCGCCTCTTCGGCCGCCGCTGCCGCTGCAGCTGCTGCAGGCCCGGCAGCGTCGGCGGTGGTAGTAGAGCCGGTGGCAGGAGCGCCGGAGGCAGGGGTAGGGGGAGGCGCGGAGGTGGTGTCGGATGGAGACGCATCAGCGCCGGTGGGGGTGGCGGGAGGGACGTTCCCAGGGAGGCCGAGGACGAAGTGCGGGGCGAGCACGTCGTCTATGACTGCACGGGCGATGAAGAGGGCGAGCTGAGAAGCGGCATCGGGGATGTCGAGGGCCAAGTCGTCCACGGCCTCGAGCAGACGCAGGAAACCCATCTCCACCTGTGGGAGGGAGGGCGGAGCAGGGGCGCGGTGCGGGGGAAGTGGAAACGGAGAGCGGATGCTGTTAAGGCATCGGGGATGTCGAGAGCCAAGTCGTCCACCGCCTCGAGCAGACGCAGGAAGCCCATCTCCACCTGCCAGGGGGGGCAGCAGGGGTGGCGGAGAAAGGGGGGGGGTGGGGTGGGGAGAAGATGGGATTGCAGAGTGGCAGCATTGGGGATGTCGAGCGCCAGGTCGTCCACTGCTTCAAGCAGACGCAGGAAACCCATCTCCAACTCGGGTGGGAGAGCAGAAGTGGGAGAAGGTGTTTTAACCACTGCTAAACCTTGCCCTACGCTGCTGCTCGCTGGAATATGTCTCAGGATCCCCCATCTCCACCTGCGGTGGGAGAGCAGAAGTGGGGGAAGGAGGGGATGCAGTGGTTGTGGTGAGTGGGTGGTTGTGGTTCTGTGTGTGAGCGGGTGAGTTGGGAGGGGAAGTGTTTGTGTGGGTGTTGAAAGAATCAGCTTGGGGGAGTCACACAGTTCACTAACACAGGTTTCTCTCCTTGGCGCACCCACTGCCCCACTTATTGCACTGCTTCTGACAGTTTCTTCAAACCGGTACAAAGTCACCGTCACCATTTCGTTTCGATTGCCCCAATCACCGCCCCACCTCTCGCCCCACCTCTCGCCCCACCTCTTGCCCCACCTCTTGCCCCACCTCTTGCCCCACCTCTTGCCCCCCTCTTGCCCCACCTCTTGCCCCACCTCTTGCCCCACGCCACGCACTTGGCCCTGATCCGTACGTAGCAAATATTGGAACAGTCTATGCCCCACCTGCCCCACCCCTTTCTCCTCACGCGGAAACCACCAACCCTTCACGCACCTCCTCAATGGGCAGCCCGCTTTGGAAGAGGAGAGTGTACCCCCTTGAACCACCCTTAGACATCCATCCACCCTGCCCCCCCTTCCACCCCCGTTCACGCGCACCTGGTCGGTCGGTGGACACCACATCTGAGTACCGTAGGTACTAATGCGACCGGTTTAGCTGGAAGATAGTGTGCTTCATGCTGGGATGTTCAGAGATAAGTAACTAATCACTCAACATTGAATTTTCCCACACCCTCCTTAACCCACCCACTGCCCCACCCCCCTGGCCCCACACCACGAATTTGGCTCTGGTCGGTGGGCGGCATATCTTAAGAAAACCTTAACCTGTTCCCCCCACCACCCACTTGCCCCATCCCTTTTCCCACGCCTTGACCTGACCTCACGCACGTGGTCGGTGGGCAGGGCAGCAGCAACAGCACGTCTTCAAACTGGGAATACTCCCCATTTTCCCAAACGGCCATGCTTTCACGCACCTCATCTATGGGCGGCAGGACTCCCTTGAAAGAGAGCCTATCCCCCTTGACGCACCCTCAGACATCCACCACTCCCCTCCCCCCCCTGCACGCGCACCTGACCGATGGGCGGCACGTCTTGGAAAAGCGCCGAGAGCAGCTGCAAGCCCATCTCGCAGCTGCTCTCATTAAAGAATCTCGAGTCATGACAGAATCTCGAGTTACCCCAAACACCCACCCACCCACCCCTCCCGTTCCCACCCCTGCATACACACCTGGTCGGTGGGCAGCACGTCTTGGAAGAGCCTATCCCCTTTGAAAGACCCTCAGACACCCACGCCTCCCGTTCACACATCCCAGTGCGCACACACACACCTGGTCGGTGGGCAGCACGTCTTGGAAGAGCGCGGAGAGCAGCTGCGAGGCCATCTCGCGCTCGCGGTTGTTGCGGTCGAGCGCCATGGTGACGAGGCGCTTGACGAGGTGGTGGTGCAGGTCGGGGAACGCGAGCTCCTCCAGCGACCGCGCCACCTCCACCACGTCTCCTGATTCAAAGTACTCCGCCACGATCAGCGATGAGCGCGCCTTGAAGTCCTGCAGCACCTGTGGAGGGAGGCCGGGGAGGGAGGGGAGGGGAAGGGAGGGGACGGGAGGGGAGAGGTGGAGAGGGGTGGGGAGGGGAGGGGAGGGGAGGGGAGGGGAGGGGAGGGGAGGAGAGGGGTGGGGAGGGGAGGGGAGGAGACGGGAGGGGAGGGGAGGAGAGGGGAGAGGAGGAGAGGGGTGAGGAGGGGAGGGGAATGGGTGAGGCGCCTCAAAGTCAAAGGCTTTGAGGGTGCAACGGCTTCAAGGGTTTACAAGCGCCACCACTCCCTCTCAACTCAGAGCGATCCGCCATATCTAGTGTTACAATAAAAAAAAGCCAGATTGAAGTGATCCCACCTCAACCTCCCACTTTCTTTACCCTCTCCTCAACTCAACCTCCCACCTGTTGCCTTCCTCTCCTCCTTCCCGTCCCTCTCTACCCCCCCATATTCTTCTTCGCCCCTCACTCTCTCCACCCCTCCCTTTTTTTCCCCGCGTCTCCCCACCCCTCCACCCTTCTCCAATCCAAACCCCTCTCTCCCCTCACCTTGCTGGTCTCGGTGGTGACAGACGCCTCAACAGCAACAAGCCATCGGCGTCCCACCCTCCCCTCTTCCCCCCTCCCTCAGCCACCCCTCCCACAATCCTTCTCCCTTCCCCCCCCCTTCCCGCCCCTCTCTCCCGCGTGTGCCACCATCCCCTCTTACCCCTCCGTTAGCCACCCCTTTCCCCACTCACCACCTTCTCCCCCCTCATCTTGTTGGTCTCAGTTGTAACGGACGCCTCAGCAGCAACCAGGTCAGCCCACACGCCATCGGCGTCCCACTCTCCCCTCTTCCCCCGCAGTCAGCCACCGCTCGGCCCACTCACCTCCTCTTTCGATCGAGTCTCCCCCTCACCTTGCTGGTCTCAGTCGTAACGGACGCCTCAGCAGCAAACAGGTCAGCCCACACGCCATCGGCAAAGGCGGAGGAGAGCCAGCCGTGAGACGTGGCGTGCGCCACCATGCGCTGCAGATCGTCCGGCGCTATCAGAGATAACCGGACCTCTTTATAACCTCCCACAACCCTACTCCCTTCCCTCCCCATACCCCGCCCCATCTCTCCCGCTTGTCCCACCCCCCCCCTCTTCCCCCTGCGCCTGTCATCCCTCTCCACCACTCTTCCACCTCTCTCCACCCCTCTTCCCTCTTCCCCTCCCCCTCACCTTGCTGGTCTCAGTGGTGACAGACGCCTCAGCAGCGACGAGGTCGGCCCACACGCCATCGGCAAAGGCGGAGGAGAGCCACCCGTGAGACGTGGCGTGCGCCACCATGCGCTGCAGATCGTCCGGCGCTGACGGCACGTCCAGAGCCAGGTCGTCAATGTTCTGAAACACACGCCCGAACCCCTTGCTCACCTGCGGGGACGGGGAAGGGGAATGGGGGGGGGAAAGAGGATGGAAAGGGGGTTACGGTGGCACAAAGATGGTATCGTCATGCGGCGACGGCGCTTCCAGAGTTATGCTAGGTTGGGGGAGGGGGCTTGTGCAGCAAGCGGGAACCACACGCCCAACGCCCTTGCTCACCATGGGCGCGGAGGAGGAGCGGAGAGGAGGGCGGGGTGGGGGGGGTGGTGGGGGTGGGGGTGGAGAGGAAGAGGGGAAGGGGCGGAAGGGGAGAATGAGACGGGGGAGGGGAACATGGGGAGAATGTGGGGTCAGGGCAAGTGGGAAACGGGGGAGGTGGGGAGGGGGAGTGGGAGGGGAAGGAGGACGAGGGCAACAGGTGAGTTAATCGCATGCGCCAGGCGTTAACTCTCACCAGAGCTGCTTAAACCCTGCCCGACTGCTTAAACCCTAGCTCCTCGTTCCTCATGAACATGAACCCTAGACTGTGAGTTTCCTTTACCTCATCTCATAGTATGGTATCAAAGTGAACATTCCCGTACGTACGGCATCAAACACTAGCCGCACTAACCGAACCGAACCGAACCGAACCGAGCTCGCAAAACATCGAAGCTAGACCAACTAAAAGCTTTCCAAGTTTCCCTGCCATCCTCACACCCCTCCCTGGCCCTCCTCACCCCCATCACACTCCAATGCATGGGCAGAGGCGGGCGGGCGTTAGGCAGCAGGCACGGCAGCGGCGGGGGCGGGCGGGCGGGGCACTCACTTGGCTGGCGGAGATGAGCCCCTCCTGTGCGGCCTCCTGCAGCAGCGACAGCAGCGCCGCCTCCTTCGGCTTGTTCTCCATCGCCATTATCAGCGCCGCCTTCACCACCTGCGCACAGTGGGAGGGGGGAGGGGAACGGGGGGAGGGGTGGAGGGCGAAAAGGTAACTTGTACAAACAAGATTTCCCATTCCCGAACTCTAAACCTTCTCATTTCTCCTTCCCGTTTCCCCACACCCTCAGCCATTTTTCCATCATGTTCCGCTTCTCCGTCCCCTTAGATTCTCTTTCCAGAAATGCTTGGTTAATCAACTTTACCACTGTGTTCTGGATCCCCTCCGCCACGCACCAGAACACTCACCCATACGCTCACCCACACGCTCACCTACTTACTCAACCCCCAACCCCACCCACCCAGCACCGCACGCACCTCGTGGTGGAAGAAGGGCAGGTTGAGCTCGCGGATGCAGCGGCACGCCTCTCCGCGTTCCCCGCTCACCACATACTCCGCCAGCAGCTGCTTGATGCTCCCCTTCGCGCCCTCGTACGTCACGCGCGCCGACCCCCCCCAGCACTTCTCCAGCACCTCCGCGTGGTGCGCGCTCGCCAGCTTCCCCTCCGCCGCGCGCACCACCTCCAGCGCCCGCCCACCCGTCCCCCCGGGCGCCTGCGCCGCGCCCGCCCCATCCCCGTCCGCTTCCCCTTCCCCTTCCCCGTCTTCCGCGCCCGCCTGCCCGCCCGCGCCCCCGACCTCCCCCGTCTCAAGCTTCTTCGCCATGCGCTTGAGAAACGCGGGCGGAAGCACGTCGTCAACCACGGACCGCGCAAGGAACGTCGCGAGCACATCTCCGGCACCAGGACAGTCAATCTCCAGATCCTCCACGCTCTCGAGCAGGTTCTTGAACCCTTTCGCGAGCTGGTCCGGCGCGATGACCGCGGCGTAGAGCGCGGAGAGCAGCTGCGCGGCCATCTCCTTGTGGCGGTCGTTGCGGTCGAGCGACATGGTGACGATGCGCTTGACCACGTGGTGGTGGTAGTGCTCCTGCGCGAGATCCTTGAACTCCTGCGCCGCCGCGCTGATGTCGCCCGACGAGAAGAACTCCTCGAGAACGGCCACTACCTTGCGCTTGTAGTCCGCGACCGTGTGCGCCACGGGCGTCGGGACCGCCACGTGCATCGCCTCGTCCTCCTGCGCGCCGAGCGCGGGGAGAGGCGGGAGGGGGGGGAAGGGGGGAGGAGGGGAGGGGGAGAGGAAGGGGGGAACGTGGGAAGCGTTGGGCGGATGGGGAGCGTGGGAGAGAGCGGAGAGAGTGGCGAGAGTGGCGAGATCGGGGCGAGTGGGGAGAATGACGGTGTCGGAAGCGAGGGAATGAGAGGAGGGGGGGAGATGGAACAGGAGGAGCGAGAAGCGAGAGGGGTGGGACGCGAGAAGCAACACGAATCCAAATGACCGGGCGCTGCTCAACGGCAAGTTCCTGCCTGCCTGCCTGCCTGTGCGTGCATGCGTGCGTGCATGCGTGCGTGCGTGCGTCCCGTGTGGCCCTACCATACGCTCCAGCAACCCGTCGCTGTCGCCCAGCGACACTGCTCAACCTCGTCGCTGTCGCACGGCGACACTACTCACCTCGTCGCTCTCGTACAGCGGGTCGCCGGGGTCCATCTCGTACTCATAGTTTTGCGGGTCCAGGGGATCGCCCCACGTGCCCTTGCCGCCCCCGCCAGCTGCAGGCCCTTAAAGGGAACACCAGAACCATGCACGCACGCATAGAGACAGACAGAGACACAGACAACACGCGCACACACGCACACGCACACGCACACGCACACGCACGCACGCACGCACGCACACGCACACGCACGCACGCACGCACGCACGCGCGCACGCGCACGCACGCACGCACGCGCACACGCACACGCACACGCACACGCACACACACACACACACACACACACACACACACACACACACACACACACACACACACACACACACACACGGGGCACAACAGCCGTTCAAAGATTTCATTCTTGATACCACCACGGAGTGGGTGTCAACACAAGGGAGTTGGACCGTAGCCATCTATGCTCGATGGTCTTTCTTCAACAAACCAGCGAGTGTTTTGAAGTCAGCCTAAAGGCAGAAAAGGGCAGCCTGCATGCACAAGGAACATCTGCTGCGCACGATAGCGCATGTGGTGGTCTATGTGAAAGCGGCAATCCAGGATGAACCACATAACGGATGTGTTGAAAAATAGTTGGGGGTGCGCACGCACGCGACAGACGAACGGTGCGTATTTATTCGTCTACGAACGAAGGGCTGGAAACAAACGTAGCGGAAGAAGGAAGCGACGGGTTAGGTGGAACGACAACTCTCTCGACAACTCTTTCCTAACTGGGAGGGAAAACATTGCTGCCTTGGATTAAAACCGTATAACCAGGTTTTGCAATAATATCATGTGTTTAATAATGACTTGGCGGCGAAAAGGGTGGTAGCATTATTCGGCGCCAAAACTTTAATCAAGCTGCACGATAGACGTCCTCAAAGCGTCTCGAGATTCACGACAGCGTGAGCGACACGTGCTACATCCGAAGGTGCGAGCAGCAGCAGAAACAGATTGAGTCAACTAGTGGAGCGTACCTTTCTTAGGCCGGCCGTTAGTGACCTGATGCGAGCGACGCTCCTGCTTCGAAGCGACGGCGCGATGGTGCGCGCGCGCAGCGGGAGGGTGCTTCGTGGCGTGCTCGATGTGCGGCCGAGGCCCTGTCGCCTCCTTGGGGTCCACCGCGCGGACTTCCCCGCGCAGAGCGTCTCGCTCTTCCAGCGCCGCGCTCAGCACCATTCGCTGCGTTTCCGTCAAGAAGCCCGGGACACCTTCTTCCCCGGAAGCCATTGCCGCAGAATCGAGTGACGAGGAATCGAAAAGCCGTATCCCGGTAAGCTGACGTCCTCGACCTTAAACCCTTGAAGCAAGTGCTAATTTCTACCACGAACTGAATATCCACTAAACTATACCTAAAACTATAGATATCTTTCCTGTTAATGATGCTGAGTATCCGAGACCAGCTTCGAGCCTCGTGTTCGAGTTTCCTAGACTCGCTTGCGCGAATTCTGTCACCCACAGACGATAATCTCAAAACTCGGATCTCGACTAAACAACCTATCACACTCAAAACGAGAGTTCAAACTTATCCGTTCGTGGACCCAAGCAAGGCTGCTTCCTCCCTAATGTCGACGGGTGACACAACGAGACGCTGAGACTAGGGCTCAAATTCCAAACCCTCTATTTCTTCAGGTAAGCCTTATCGCTGCTCTACAGCTGTTACTGGCCAAGACATTTCTTTCCGCTTGGGTTGGGAAAGTTGGTGCCGTGGCAGATTCGTTATAAACACATCCGGTGGTTGGAGCGATTGCGTTCCAGCCCACACAATGGGGTGATGATGACGAGCTGTACAGCTATGTCACAAATCAGTTTGAGCAAGCCTTCAGGGTAACTTTACCCTAGCGCGAAGGGCAATCGCGTGCAACGAGTTTGGATGACCTTTTCTGACAGATCTTGGAAGGAGCAAACATCGATTCCCTCATATGGGCTGGCATACACGTGGAGTTCGAACATGTGCATTTTTCTGTCCACGTATGCAGTCCATCGGGGGATATCGCCATTCTGACGAGAGGGCATTGCGTTCTCAGCAAACAAAACGATCTGCTGACGTGTATCCACGTGCCTCAGCCGAGAGGTATCCACCTTGAGGGTAGGTGCAATAGAATAACTAGCGAAGGCTACACTACTGAGAGGGAAAATAAAACGTACAGAGTTCAGACATTGCAATCCTTTTTTTCTTGTTAAAAAACAAACAAACAAACAAACAAACAAACAAACAAACAAACAAACAACAACAACAACAACAACAACAACAACAACAACAACAACAACAACAACAACAACAACAACAACAACAACAATAACAACAACAACAACAACAACAACAACAACAACAACAACAACAACAACAACAACAACAACAACAACAACAACAACAACAACAACAACAACAACAACAATAACAACAACAACAACAACAACAACAACAACAACAACAACAACAACAACAACAACTTGTCCTTACTTCACATCACCCTGCCCACCATGAACAGCAATGTTTGATACATATCGAATCCATCCATCTTGAATATACCCATTTGTTCGCGCCGTCGTTCCTGATCCATACGTTTCGACTGATAACACATGTCCCTGAACCACACACCTTGGCTGGTAACCCATGTCGTGGGTCTACACCTCAGTTAGTGCCAGCTCCCCAATATTTTGTGTGCATTACCAGGGCCATCTTTCGATGTTTGATGCGCGTTCACATCTTTCCTCGCTATATTATCGATTCCTCGGTATTGCAATCCTTGCGTTCTCGGTACGCTTGGTGGCCTGATCTACTTTCTCATTGTACGCATTAAAGCTCAAGGCCCAAATTGCGCAAGATTACTAATCTTGCGTAAGTTTGAGTGCTGAGGGGTGGGTAGAGTCGAGGGGAGTGTTGGGAAGGTGACCTGTCTGATTTCGCCCGTAACACTTGGTTTTTTCGCTGAGTCAGCGAACTCTAGGGGGAAACGTCGGTTTGGGGACCTCGAGTCCCAAATTGCAGAGTAGTAAAACTCGATGCTTTGGCAGTGAGTCTGGATTCGACCAATCAAATTGCATCGCACCTATTGTAACCAAATTTTCGCCACACACCAGCACAGAAAACGAGAAGTGTGCAAGATTACTAATCTTGCCTTGCGCGGCCCGCAATTTGGGCCTTGAGCTTTAATAAATCAACAAACCTACTCCACAAGAAGTTCCTCTACATGACTACACCCACTTTAAAATGAAATCCGTCCAGCACTTGACAATAAACATGCACTTTATGGTACAACAATTACAACGTGCATGATAAATGCAGCTTAACATGACAGCACGAGGAATCCCTCCGTTGCAGCAGACAACAAATCCATCCAAGATGTGCCCGCCTAGTTTCCGTCGATGCATCAACATTATGTCAGGATATGATGACAACAATGCAATGTCGTTACGGACATCCGCAATGCACAATTGTATGCTATCGCCGCATCCGATAGGCATGGTACGTTTGCGACGTGGCCCGATGCTGTTAATGAGAGTTGGCGTCGTCCTCGATTCGGCAGAGTCGACTTCGTGGTCGGGTGTGCGGGAGGTGCAGCCGACCGTCAGCAGTGGGCGACGCCGACTTGGGTGAGCAGGTTGACTTGTTGGTCGACCTGCACGGGGCCATTATGAAGACGCCGACAACGGGAAGCCGGCGACCGACTTCAACCTGGTGGTCGACGAAGGAACTCGTCGACCTTGGGGGGGAGGGGGGGGTGGGGAGGGGGGGGGGGGGACTTGAGGGCGTCGACTTGGTGACGCCGACTTGGTGAAGCCGGTGGGTGGCGTCGACCTGGGTAGTCGACGAGCACGTACAGAAGTTGGCTGGGTCCGGCCGCCCAAGTCAACGCCGACCTGGCGGTTGCCCGGTCGACGGGCGACGAGGTTCCGCGCGGTGCGCGACCGTCGCCCAGAAGGTTGCGGCGAAGCCGACCTCGGGCTGGTATGCAAGGTCGACGTGGCTCGTCAGGCGCAATCAACGACACGTGGTCGGCTTGGCACCTGCGCCGTGCACACCGCGCCAGCCGTCTGCAAGCACCTGCGAAGTAGGTGCAGGCATGTGCGCTACTGTCACCTGCAGTTGCAACGCTGGCAGGCCACTCAGCTGTGTTGGAATCACTCAACAGGAAAATGAATGAACTAGCAATGAAAAGAGTACAAGTACCTAACCCTAGAATTGTGTACCCCCTATAGGCTAACCCACTGTAGCCTAAACTAACACAACATATATAATGTTTGACACACCCCCATAGGCAAAGTGGGGGAGAACTAGGGGTCACAAGACCAGTCAAGGCAAAGCAAGGCAAAACAAGCTCAGGGTGGATCTCAAGGATACCACACAAATTCCGAGCACAAGCAAGTGGTCACAAGACCAGTTCACATGCAGGTTTATATATAGAGATCACAGTACAACAGACTCAAGAAGTAAGCAAGTGAGGTCCAGTAGGCACAAGGCCTAGAAGAGTGCAAAAGCGCTGATGGTCACAAGGCTGAAGCGCCTTGGTGAACACATCAGCAGTGTTGGCCTCAGAGGCCACGTAACGCAGGCGAAGCTGACCACGCTGCTGCAGCTCTCGAGCGAGGAAGTAACGCAGAGCAATGTGCTTCGTTCTGTGCTCCAGTCTGTGTTCCTCACACAAGGCAATGGCTGCCTTGTTGTCGACGTACAGCACTGGAGGAGAACGAGGCTGCTCTCCAAGGTCGGTCAGCAAGTAGGTGAGCCAGCGTAGCTCCTGGGCCGCCATGGCTGTGGCGTAGATCTCAGCCTCACAACTGGAGCTGAGAACAGAAGAAGAGCGAGTAGAACGCCAAGAAACAGAACCAGAGCCAAGACTGAAGGAGTAACCCTGAGACGACCGCTGAGTAGCCTGGTCGTCTGCCCAAGAAGCGTCTGAGTGCCCAGTGAGAACAACTGGGACTCGCCCTCCAAGCACTAGCCCCATGCCCGACGTACTGCACAAGTAGCGCAACACCCTCTTAGCTGCATCCATGTGCTCCTTCCGGTGACGGCCGGGAGCGACATAGCGTGCAAGAATGCTGAGAGGGTATGCAAGGTCTGGTCGAGTGCAGGTCATCAGGTACATGAGGCAACCCACAAGCTCTGGATACGGGCCACTCGGCTCTACGGACTCATCCGAAGGCAGAGCTGAGAGCGAGTGACCGGTAGGCAGAGGAGTGGGCTGAGGCGAGGAGTACGTGAAGCGGAAGCGCTGAAGGACCTGCTGCACCATGTGTGACTGAGTCAAGGTGATGGTGCGGCGTGCTCTGTCCCGGGTGATCCGCAAGCCAAGATAGCTTGTCAGTTCACCCAGGTCTGTGCACGTGTGTCTCTTCTGCAGCTCCGACTTCACGTGGGCGAGTGCCACAGTGTCAGCAGTAGCAAAGACCAAGTCGTCGACGTACACAAGGACGTAGAACGGCGGCAGTGAGGTGTCGGTGCGTAGAAACAGCGACGGGTCAGCAGTAGAAGGCGCGAACCCAAGAGCCGCAAGCGTAGTCCTCAGTGTGTCGTGCCACTCACGAGGCGCCTGGCGGAGACCGTAGACTGGCCGTCGGAGGCTCCACTGGGTACCAGGAGGGAACGACCCAGTGAAGCCAGGTGGACGGCGCAGCCAGATCTCCTCGTGCAGGCTGCCCTGCAGGAAAGCAGTGCTGAAGTCAAGCGAGTGGAGCTCGTAGTCACGCTGAGCGGCGACGTGCAGCAGAACCCGAAGAGTGGTCATCTTCGGGGTCGGGGAGAAGGTCTGGAAGAAGTCAACTCCCTCGCGCTGACTGAAGCCTCGTGCAACGTAACGCGCCTTGAAGACAGGCGGAGAACCCGGCGGCCGCTTCACCCTGAAAATCCACATGCCACTGACGATGTTCGCCCCAGGCGGGGGAACCTCGTCGACGTAGGTGCCTGTGGACTTCCAGGAAGCCATCTCTGTGTCCATGGCTGACTGCCACTGAGAGGAGTAGGGACCGGCCATCGCCTCTGCGTAAGAGCGTGGGGTCGGGATGTCTGGTGCATCCGGGTCTCCCTCAGGGGCAACAAGCATGGACACGAGATGGGGCAAAGCGGCAGCAAAGCACTGGAACTCCTCCTGCCTGTCCTCAAGGACGTCAGTGCCAAGAGCACACTCACCCCCGACGGACGGAGGACAGACAGACTCAGACTCAGCAACTAGGCTAGCAGCGTAGTCTAGACGACAGCGAGCAGCAAAGTCGACAAGCTCAGCAACTAAGGCAGACGCAGCAGCAGACTCAAAGGAAGGGTCAGTGACAACAGTGGCCAGGAGACGCGTGACAGCAGGACTGGTAGCACGAAGAGAGTCTGACCCAGGGTCAGGAAGAGCAGGAAGAGAGGAAGCAGGAGGAGACGGCAGTGGGACACGCTGTGGAGCAGTGGACGGACGAAGCGCCATCCGGTGAGTGCCTGGGACAGCAGGAAGACGCTGACACTGGACTCGACGACTAGAGAGAGCAGTGCGGACAGGCGACCCAGGACGAGACTCAGGCGACGCAGGACGAGACGCAGGCTCACGCCGCTCAGTAAGACCTCCAGTCGGACCAGTGTAAGGAGCAGGACCAAGGAGAGAGGAGGCAGACGGTAACGCCGACTGCAGCTGGACAGGCTGAGGACACTCTAAGGAGGGAGGAGGAAAAGGAGGAGGAAGCTGACCAAGAACCTGCTGAAGGAGCGGAACAAAGTACGGCTGAGACCGAGCAGCGACACCAGAGCCAGCAGGGACACCCGCACCAGGGTCCGCAGCACCAGCAGCAGCTCCAGCGCCCACGTCCTCAGCACCAGCGGTAGCTCCAACGCCCGGGTCCTCAGCACCAGCAGAAGCTCCAGCGCCTGGGTCCTCAGCACCAGCAGCAGCTCCAACGCCCGGGTCCTCAGCACCAGCAGCGGCTCCAACGCCCGGGTCCTCAGCACCAGCAGCAGCTCCAACGCCCGGGTCCTCAGCACCAGCAGCAGCTCCAACGCCCGGGTCCTCAGCACCAGCAGCAGCTCCAACGCCCGGGTCCTCAGCACCAGCAGCAGCTCCAACAGCAGCGGGGTTCGTAACACGAGGCACGCCACTCCGAAGAGTGCAGCGCCGCTCGTACCACTCACGGATCCGCTCGCGGGAGGGGAGCTCCCGAACGGGAGAAGAAGTACTAGCACCAGTCCCAGTAGTACGTCCGGCTCGAGCGGTACCTCTCCGGAGGCTGCAGTACTCTAAGTACCACGCACGTAGCTGCTCCGAGGAGAGGGCTCCTCCAGGTGCAGGACTCCCAGACCTCGTACCTCCAGACGCAGAACCCCCAGACTCCGGACTCCGCAGCTCAGTACCACGAGGCTCCACACCCCCAAGCTCAGCACCCTCAAGCTCCACACCCCCAGGCTCCACACCCCCAGGCTCCACACCCCCAGGCTCCACACCCCCAGGCTCCACACCCCCAGGCTCCACACCCCCAGGCTCAGCACCCCCAGGCTCAGCACCCCCAGCAGGACGAGAGTCGACAGCTACCTCAACAGGCTCAACCGGGTCTACCTGAGACACACCTGAGGGAGCGGCACCCTGAGGGGGGAGGGGGTCTGCAACAGCAGCACCTGGCGAGAGGAAGAGAGGCGGGGGGGGGAGCGGGGCAGTGCGGTAGGGGAAGAGGCGGTAGTAGGGGACGGACTCGTCAAAAGTGACGTCCTGGGAGGGCAAGACTCGGCGCGAGGTGGCGTGGTAAAACTGCCAACCAGACGCGTCCGGGACAAAGCCGAGGAAGACGCAGGGAACAGCACGGGAGGAGAGCTTGTCCGCAGACGAATCGCGGACAAAAGCTCGAGACCCCCAGACCCGGAAACGCGACGCATCGCCAACCTCCCCCGTCCACAGTAGCGTGGGCGAGGTCTCCGGCAAGGAGACACGGGGCCAGAGGTTGAGCTGATGCGCAGCGTACCGGACCGCAAACGGCCACAGAAAGTGGGGGGCAGCCGCATGGATCAAGGAGGTACGGGCGACCTCCATGACCAGGCCAATGCGGCGCTCCGCAACCCCATTCTGCTGTGGAGAAGCCGGAAGCGTGAACGACTGCTCAATGCCGTGCTCAGCACAGTAGGCTGCCAAGAGGTCGGAGGAGAACTCACCACCTCTGTCAGAGTGCAAGCGCAGGACAGGAAAGTCCGAGTGAAAACGCTCGCTGAGCTGGAGACGGGCTCTGCGGATCCAAGGGATCAAGACATCAGGGACCTCACCCTTGGTGCGCAAGGGGAAGACCGAGGTGTAGCGCGAGTAGTCGTCAACAACTATCAGGAAGTACCTCTCCTGACCCTGACCACGGACGCGGGCTGGGCCCCACACGTCCATGTGGAGTGTCTGCAAGGGAGCAGTCGTCGGGGGGAACGAGGAGGAGTGAGGAGCGGCGCGCTGCCGTCCCTCGACACAGGGGAGACAGGTAGGAGCAGGCGAGGGTGGGAGGGGAGGAAGGACCCTGGGCAGGCCAGAGACAAGGTACCTGGAGTGCATGGCACGAAGCCGCTGCACAGACGGGTGGCCAAGGCGGTGGTGCCAGAGGACAGTCTCGTGTGCCAAAGAGCGACACGAGCAGGGGGCGGACAGCTGACCTGACGCGGACGCGGACGCAGTCGCAGCAACCTGAGGGGACTCAGTAGTCAGTGTGTACAGGTCCGACCCCGGCTGCCGAGTGAAGGTAGCCAAGTGACGGCCCGTACGAGCACACGTGCAGTGTGTCACGCGCTCGTAGGCAGGGGTGAACTGGTGAACACCCCCGTCCTGGAGTGTACAGCCTGCCACCAAGTTCGTAGAGAACGAGGGGAGGTGGAGACCTGACAGTGTGCCCGACGGGACCGCAGGGCAGGGAAGGACAGTGGAAGAGGTCGCAGTGACCGGACCCCCAGAGGGGTCAGCAAGGGAGACAGCAACTGGTCGAGCAAGCGGCTCAAGGGCAGTGCGGTCACGAAAGAAGCAGCGAGAAGCACCTGAGTCCAGTGTGAAGGTGTGCAGTGCGGCAGTCGACGCAGTACCAAGGGGGGGAGACACACGAGCACCTAGAGCAGCAGCCTCACCAGCACCTGGGGTAGCCGACACGTGAGTACCTGGAGCGGCAGACGCACTGGCCCTAATGCCCGGGTCGGGCGGCACACACAAGTACTCAGCACCCTCTCCACTAGTAGACATCACATACATGGCAGATAGAATAGCATCAAAGTCTAGAGCATAGATATCAATCCCCTTCTTCAGGAGATCAAGCCAGCGGGGCAGCTCAGTGGCCTGAGGGAACTGAACACGCCAAGCGTCGTCGAGACGAGAGAAGCAGCGCTGTGTGGCGTGCGGTCGTCCACACTGCTGACCAGTGCGGTCACCAGTGCGAATGACGTACGTGCAGCTAAGACCACCCCCACCCCCGTGCTGAGAGTACCACTCACGGACCTCCTGGGGCGAGAGAGTGTGCTGCTGGCCCTGGCCACCGCCAGCGCCTCCACGGCCACCACCACCGCTGCCACCTCCTCGACCACCCCAACCCCTGCCGCCGCCTCGTCCACCGCCACCCCAACCGCCGCCTCCACTCCTGCCACCTCCCCCGCCGCTGCCGCCACCACCCCCACCGCTACCACTCGCCCCTCCAGCCGAGCCACCACCCCCACTGCCTCCACCGCCCCCACCGCCGCCTCCCCCGCCGTCACCGCCACTACCCTTGCCCCCTTTGCCCTTGCCGCTGCGGCGTCCGCTCGAGGCAGACGCAGTGCCGACCTTCTCAGTACCAAGAAGGTCGACAGCAGCAGCAGAGGCGACAGAGGGAAGAAGGGGGGAAGGAGAACACCCCTCAAAGAACGGGGTACGGGGGTCGCCACGAGAGGCACCTACAGCGACTATGCTAGCCTCAGCTGCAAGTAGCTCCTTCTCGAGGAGGGCAATGGTGAGCTCAGTGGGGCAACGAGCTAGGAAGTGGTCCCTGACAGCACGCAGTGTGTCAGGGAGGCGGGTGACTAGGTGATAGAGAGTGAGCCAGAGTGGAGGGGGGTGCGTGGCAAGGAACTCAGCAGGCATGGCGGCACGGAAGCGGGCCTCACTAGTACGGAGGTGCGTGATGAGGTCAGCGACTGTGTGAAAGGAGGCCAGGTTGGGAAACAGGTAGGGGAGGGAGAGACGGCCTAGTGCGGCAGAGGCAGGTGAGGAGTAGCGAGCAACTACAGCTGTGTACAGTGCCGGTGCAGTCTTGTGCTGACCAAAGTGCTCGCGTTCGTCTATCGGCAGGGAGTTGCGAATGGCGAAGCGAGCGTGGGCATCACGAGTCTGCCACTGTGAGCGAGCAGTGCTGTCAGCAGTAGCAGCAGGGGCAGTGACAAGGCCTAGGGCGTGATCGTACAGTGAGATGTCATCCTTGGCTGTGAGCTGTAGGTAGAGGTGCAGGTCATCGAGCCAGGTGTCAAACTTCACAGGGCGGCCCTCAGCATCGAACACGAGAACCTGTGGGCTAGCCATAGGAACAGTAGAAATAGCAGCAGTAGCGGTAGGAGAAGCAGGTGGGACGAACCAGGTAGGGCAGGGCGGCGCGGCTCGGTTCAGGTCGGGTCGCGGCTCGGCTGGGTGGCGCGGCTCGGCTCGGGGCGCGCGGCTCGGCTCAGGTCACGGCGGGGACGGGCCGCCCGCTCTCCCTCTTGTGCTGCGGCGGGAACGGGCCGCCCGGGGCCTCTGGGTGGTGGGCACGGGTCGGCGAGGTAGGCACGGGGCCGGTTGGGGCCCGAGAGGGGCGAGCGCGGGGCCGATCGGGGCCTGAGCGGGGCTAGCGCGGGGCCAAACGGGGCCTTGACGGGGCTAGCAAGGGGCCGACGGGGCCTGAACGGGGCTAGCGCGGGGCCGACGGGGCCTGAAACGGGGCCGAAGGGGCCTGAAACGGGGCTAGCGCGGGCCCGATCGGGGCCTGAATGGGGCTAGCGCGGGGCCGACGGGGCCTGAGAGGGGCTAGCGCGGGGCCTACTGGGCCTGAGACGGGGCTAGCGCGGGCCGACGGGGCCTGAAACGGGGCTAGCGCGGGCCGACGGGGCCTGAGAGGGGCTAGCGCGGGGCCGACGGGGCCTGAAACGGGGCCGACGGGGCCTGAAACGGGGCTAGCGCGGGCCGACGGGGCCTGAGAGGGGCTAGCGCGGGGCCGACGGGGCCTGAAAAGGGGCCGACGGGGCCTGAAACGGGGCTAGCGCGGGTCGACGGGGCCTGAGACGGGGCCGACGGGGCCTAAACGGGGCTAGCGCGGGGCCTGAACGGGGCCTTAAAGGGGCCGACGGGGCCTGAACGGGGCTAGCGCGGGGCCGTCAAGAGGGGCCTCTAGGGGCGTGACACGCCGAGGCGCCCTAGGGCACGGGTAGGTAGGTAGGTAGGTAGTTACGTAGTGGTGGGCCCTTAGAAAATTTCGGTCCTAGGAAGGACCTGCTCTATACCATGTTGGAATCACTGAACAGGAAAATGAATGAACTAGCAATGAAAAGAGTACAAGTACCTAACCCTAGAATTGTGTACCCCCTAAAGGCTAACCCACTGTAGCCTAAACTAACACAACATATATAATGTTTGACAAGCTGCAGCATTGGCAAGCCGCCTTGGTGCTGCGTTGGCAGGATGCCGACTTGTTGCGTTGGCAAGCCGCCATTTTGCAGCGCTGGAGCACCGTCGACTTACAGTGCTGGCAGGTCGCCGACTTTGCTGCGCTGGCGGTCGACCCGCCTATGCGCTAGGCAGACTTGCATCAGATGTAGTCATTCTTGCCATTGCTTGTTCACCATTGTTCTCAACTTTTGCTAGTGAAGCTCTTGTCGTTTTGCTCTGTGAACGCACAAGTGCTAAAAGAACACAAGGAACGCTACGATCACTCATACCACCTGTGCATTCCCCATAGTCTAACTCCCACCGGTATAGAGTGACTCTCCGCATGGTGCGGTGAGCGTGGATCGAACACGCGAACTTCAGATAGTAGCCGACTCACCATTTACCTAGGATGTTGCTAGGTCGGCAACCCGTGCAGACCATGACGCTTACCCTGGTAGAAGCTGGCGTGGTAGAGGATACGTTGAAGGCACTACAAGCTAATGCTAGGAGACGCCACACGGCTGGCGAGTACGGGACGGTCCCCCTGGAGGTGCTCCTCCTAGGCATTCGTACGCAGTATGCGCACGAGCACCCTCCCCGACTTGGAGCAGACGGTGCGTCTGCCTCTCCTCGGCCGGTGCACAACGAAGGCGGTGTCGACGAGCACGTCGACGGCGGTGACAAAGTCGGCAGTGAAGGAGGCACGCGGGTGACGCGTGGAGTGATAAGGTCCGTCGACGTCGACATCGGCGGAATGCAGGCACGAGTGCAGCGGTTGATGGCGGCCGCAGGCAACTCGCACATCGACCTCGGTGGACGACGTCGCTCTCCCCAACGAAGTGGAGTCGGGCCGAAGTCAGCGACCCACATGACGGCTGGGCGGGATGGTAGGATTGCACCAGCGTACGGGTACTTCAAGTTCTATCCGGACAAAATCGCCGTGTTGAAGCTGCTGGAAGGTCGGCACGACCTCATCTCGTGGACGAAGTCGATCGAGCCTCAGCTGGAGATCGCAGAGCTGAAGTTGTTCGCCGACGGCGATGTGGAAACGCCGCATGAGGCCGACGTCGAGCTCCGGGCGGAATTTCGCGCTGCTTTCCTGCTGACCTTCATGGTCATCTCGCAGTGCTGCTCGCCGATGGTACAGGTCGCCCTCAAGCCATGCCGATTTCGACTTGACGCCGGCCACCAAGCGTGGCGGGTCACCACGTCGACGTACAAGTCGACCAACGACTTGTACATTGGCCAGCTGGAAGAGAATCTGACCCACATCAGGATGGGCGAGCAGGAGTCGGCGACGGACTACTGCAACCGTGCCTAGCGGATTCTAGCCGACATGCGCATGGCCGGCGTCTACTACTCGACGTCGTCCTATATGACGCACGCCGTCAAGGGTAGAAGCCGATTGATCGTTAAAATGGATGGTCGAAGACAGTTGACCGTTAAAATGGAGGGTCAAATGCACCACGTGGTAAAAATACGAACGGTTATTTTGTCGGGTCTAATCATCGCAATTTAGATTCGCATTGAAGGGTACATGCGTACCCCTTCAAAGCGCATGGCTTGATAGGACCCTTCGTATTCCTGTTGTTTTTTATAGAAGCCCTTGTATTACGCTATTATCTTAACTATTACCCAATTCATATTCCCTGCAGACAAAGGCGCGAACCAACCAAAGCACCTACTCCATTACAGCTAGAAAAGTTAGAATGAGAAAGGAGGGTTTGCACTAGCAGCAGTTGAGATACATATAGGAAACCCTAATTGGGTTGTACTCGCTATAGAGTACCCCACTGCAGGCTAGACAAGCATAATATTCTGACACACCCCCATAGTCAAAGTGGGGTATAACCAGCACAACAAGCAGTCATAGAGCAGGTTCACAAGGACAAGCAAAGCTAGAGGCATTCACAGAGGGCAAGTGAGGAGGAGGAGGGAATGTGCGAGGAGAGGAGATGGGAGGCGACGACGGAAGCTGCAGACACACGGTAGCGGCTGGCTCAGTGGCTACCGAAGCAAAGGCCCGGACTACAGGAGTAACTGGCTCCGCGGCTACGCCGAGCGGCTGGAGCAACTGACCCACGGGCGACTGGCGACTACCGGAGATTGTAGCCTCCGGACTACTGGCGCTGCTTGCGACACGACGGCTCAACCTCCGCTCAACCTCCCCCAGCTGTCCCACCCCCCTTTCACACACCCTTTGCTGCACCCCTAGCTCCACCCCCACGTCACCCCCCTAGCACCACTCCCTCGGCTCCCACACACCCACCCCCCTCAGCGGCAGCTGCAGCAGTGGGAGACGGAGGAGGAGGAGGGGACGGCTCACACACCCGCCACCCCTATACCCGCCACCCCCACACCCCAAACGCAGGCAGCGTGGGGAAGAAACGCGGGCAGAAGTTGGGGCGGCGTGCGAGCAGAAGCGGGGCAGCGCGCGGGCCCCAGGGGCGCCGCGACGGGCGACGGGAGGGGGCGACGCGCGCGGGCCCCCGAGGGCGCCACGACGGGCGACGGGAGGGGGGGGCCGCGCGGGCCCCCGAGGGCGCCTCGACGGGCGACGGGAGGGGGGGCCGCGCGGGCCCCCGAGGGTGCCTCGACGGGCGACGAGAGGGGACCGCGCGCGGGCCCCCAAGGCGCCGCGACGGGGTGACGGGAGGGGCTGACGCGCGGGCCCCCGGGGCGCCACGACGGTCGAAGGGAGGGGGCCGCGCGCGGGCCCCCAGGGCGCCGCGACGGGGCGACGGGAGGGGCTGACGCGCGGGCCCCCGGGGCGCCACGACGGGCGACGGGAGGGGGGGGCCGCGCGGGCCCTCAGGGTGCCGCGACGGGGCGACGGAAGGGGCTGACGCGCGGGCCCCTGAGGTGCCACGACGGGCGACGGGAGAAGGGGGGCGCGCGCAGGCCCCCAGGGCGCCGCTACGTTCAGGGCAGGGCGGTGCGCGGCTAGCAGGGAGGCGCCACGGGCAGGGCAGAGCAGAACGCGACTAGCAGGGCGGCGCGACGAGCAGAAAACCACCGCGAGCCCCGAGCGCACGGCGGGAAGAAAAACCGCCGCGCGCCCGGAGCGCGCGGCAGGAAGAAAACGTCGCGCGCCCGGGGCGCACAGGTAACAGTCACCCTCAGCACTATCAGTCACAGGGCAGTCGCACTAGCAGCGGAAGCATTGGGTGGGCCCATCCACAGGATCGACCCGGGGGGGTCGACCTGCTCTTATAGCATGTCAAGATACAGCTAGAAAAGTTAGAATGAGAAAGGAGGGTTTGCACTAGCAGCAGTTGAGATACATTTAGGAAACCCTAATTGGGTTGTACTCGCTATAGAGTACCCCACTGCAGGCTAGACAAGCATAATATTCTGACACTTACGGTCCCTTAAAAACCTTCATATTGTAACACAGAAGATGCTTCCTTGGTTGCATTTGGCCGGTATTCGCAAGAACAAATTTTCGAGAAACGAAAGCGCTTAGGTATCCAAAGCATAGAAACAAAGGAGTTCGTAACTTACGTGGTCTCGAAAACATACAAACCGAGCAGTCAGTAGCTTATGAAGTTTGGAAAGCATTGAAACGGTTTTTTTAGATTGTACTCCATCGAACAATGATAGTAGAACACTATGTTATTTAGTTTGATAAGGTGCAAAATGCAAGTGACATTGTGAAGATTAAAAATAACGCCTGGTTTGAGTATGGTCAAAGTACATATCAAAATGTGGTCCGAAATCGGTAGTGGTTCGGTCCAGTGGATGCAAGGTATATCAAGATGGACTAGCTAAATTGTATATTCCCTTAGGCACTTTCAGGATATGCGTTCGTTGCTTTCACCAGCAAAATTTATTATTACATGGATGGTCTCAATCTATGGATACTTATCACGAATTGTTACTCGGCTAGGTAAAAAAATATAGGTGGGCATCGACGTTTGGTTATACGATTGTTGGTCACTAAACGAAACCATATAAAAAATTATGTAAAGAGGGCTATTTTGAAGTCTAATTGTCGATAGTTAATGATACATTTTAACCATACTTACAAATTTGTCCTATATGTATATCTTGATTACATCCGAAGCGAGTCGCGACGGCGAACAAAAAAGTTATATTGGAACAAAAACTGCCATTAGAGGGAGGCATCAACCCTAAACACCACTAGAAAAAAATGTTCAATGTGAATACATTCTGGTTTGATTCCTTTTCCTATGAATTTTACCTTATTCTGAAAAGTGTGCACTCTGATTAGAGGCTCTTTCAATTTCCCAAATAGGTATTAGTCTAGAGTCCAGAAGTGATAATTATGTGTGACCAAACGTGATAGTATACTGACCATCTCTGATAGATCTGCCGTTTTCTGTGACCGTGCATGATTGTCGAGGGATGAAATGGGATGAAATGCCCATGGTTGTGATTGATTGTATAAACACCCACGAAAGACCACTCGAACCAGACGCGGATGAAACGACTTGCGGAATTCGTGAGCTGGTTTCCGATGTTTGCGAACTTTCGCACTGCCCATCGCAACTAGGTCGGACCCTGGTTAGCAAACCTGGCACCCTGCACGGTTCAGAATCCAGATCACTACTTTCGTCACCTCACGTCCGTATGTACCTTCCGGGCTGCTACTTACATCCCTCCCGTCCTCTCGCCCCCACGTTGCTACGACCGTAGAGTCTTTGAAGCAGACCGGCAGTTCCCTGTAATAGTAGCAACTCGTGGCAGCTTCCCGTGCTCTTGCTGTCGCCGGCCGCTCGTGCGAATGGATGACAATAAACTCGAAGTGACCAGTAAGCGTTTAGGAAAAGTAGACGACAAACCGCAAGAACAAATGAAGAACGATCATTCGTTTCCGTGCATTGCATCTTACTAATCATCACGTGAACCGGCTCAGACGCATTGATTTCTGTCTCCCCGTTTACTCCGTCCGACAGTCATTCGGGCAAGCGGTCTGCCAGACGTGCAGCTATGGAAATTCGGAAGTATTCAGGACCCGTATGCGACTATTAAGTACAACGATATCGACCTTCGCACCAAGACCGACAACAGTAAGTCCGCGAGTGGGGCAGCAGGGAAGCGAGACTCTCGAGAAGCGTGCCACTGTGGGAGCCGAGAATATCGATCGGCTCTGTTAGTGATTAGGTCGATACGGGTTGCATTTACGAGGCGTCGCAAAAATCGTTTCACCTTCAAGGCGCCTCGAAAGGGTTTGTGACTACGTGTATAAAGGTATGGACTGTATGGCTCAGTGCAGTGGTCGTGGGCCGTTTTTGTTTTTCAAGAGATGGGGGAAAAGAGCGACAGGCAATGAGGAAATGCGGTCTTGGGAAGCTGTTATGTGAAACTACTTCAATAACGCTTGAAATGCGGTCCTGGAAGGTGAAAGTGGGGTTTGTCTGGCAATGCAAGAGGAAAGGGTAGTGTAACGCCCGTGAACAGATGGCACGCATCCTTCTCTTCCCTATAATCCTTTCCCAGTACAGCTCCGTACGCGCGTCTTTTGTTCTTTGATACATTTTCCAGTGTTTTTCACCCACGTCCCCACTATCCGTTCCATCGCTCTCCCCGCTTATCCTCCCCCTTCCCGTCTTTCAAACAACCCCCTCCCACCCCCCCCCCTCTCCAACCCAACCCCCCTTCGCTCCCTCTCTCCCCCCCCCCCCTCCCCCCCCCTTACCCCCTTCTTTTCTCCCGCGCGTCACAGATGGCGGCACAAGCCCCAAGTGGAACGAGACCTTCTCCTTTGTGGTCGGTGAAAGCCACGCCATCTCGCTCATTGCAGTTCTGCACGAGAGGGTTCTTGAGTCGACTAAATCATTCCCCTCTACCCCTTTCCTCTCCCGCGCGTCACAGATGGCGGCACAAGCCCCAAGTGGAACGAGACCTTCTCCTTTGCGGTCGGTGAAAGCCCCGTGATCTCGCTCACCGTGCTGCACGAGAGGGTTCTTTCCAATGGCGAGATCATTGGCACTGGCAAGTCAGTATGCACGCGAGAGAGAGCTGGCAATGCGCCGTGCATTTGTTCGGTGCGGGGTTCTGGTTTTTTTTGCAGAGCTGCGGAGGGGTAGCGGTTTGAGAGACAGAGGATTTTTAGAGTGACCTTTTTTTTTTTTTTAGGGGCGTATAAGGAGAGACGGCTTGAAAGAGTGGTGCATAGCGATCGAGGGTTACTTGGCGATGGTCAAGCGCATTAGAATCAGAACTAAGCAGAAATAGATGTGCGTGCTATTGCATGCTGTAAGATGTGACGCCTCATGTGTAACCTGTCCAATCTAATGTCACTGTAGAGGTACGAACAACAATCGTTGTGATTCGTCGGTTACTGAAACCCTAGATCAAGCCCGTGCAGGCCATGCGTCTGGTTGGAGCTACTCCTCCCTGCCAACTGCTTTTCTTCTCATTCTGAATCCAACCAAAACGCCTCCCTTGTTTCTGTGTGGGTGTGACAGGGTAGATTTCTCAAGGGCACGGGAGTTGGGCGAGACAGTGGAGTCTGTGCTGCTGGATACGGCGGAGGGGAAGTAAGAGCAAAACAATCGCTTTGTATTACATTCCTTTGCTGCAATGGGGTTGAAGACAGTTGCGTGTTGTTGACTCCTGAGTCCTCTTTCCTCTTTAGTGTCCCCAGGACCAGCTTCCTGCTGTTTCTTTCTCTCCTGTGTTTTCCGGCTGCATTCTGTGTTCCAGTTGCTTCTTCTGGTCATCTGGATTAAGAAATCGCAATCCGCTAAGTTTCTTTGCTCCATCACAAGCTGCTCTTTTATAAATGGTTTTCTTCTGATTGATTCTCCTTGGATTTGCAGACAGCAAGGTGTTCTCGAGATCAAGCTAAAGTTTCCAGCAATAGTAAGCCGTATTTTTTTTTTGCCCCTCCCCACGATAAAGTAATCTTCTTCATTTCGTCTCCATGAATCCAAAATCACTGGTCGTGCCAGCGCCCACGGTATGTATTTAACTTCAAATAAAGAGCATCAGTGGACCAACATCTCGAGATGGGCATGTACCATTCCGTGCGCTGTTCCTTCTGGTTCTACCTTCACCACAACCGCCCTTTTATTGGTGCGCTGTATCTTCCATTGTCACGTCTCCCATAAACCATGTCTTCCATCAATCACATCCCTATCAATCACATCTCTCTACATTCACACCTCCAAGTAATCACATCTCTCTTGATTCACATCTCCCATCAATTCACATCTCCCAGCAAGCATGCCTTCTGTCACCCATCCCCCCCTGTCACCCCTGTCCCTCAAACTTCCAAACCACTGCAGTGGGAGCGGCTTCATATGATCCAGAAAATGGCGGCCAGTCAGATTGACGATGCCAAGTCTGTGTACGAGCAAAAGCTTGCCGACGCACTGAGAATGCGGCAGAAGAAAGCGGCCCAAATCTTTGAGCTCCACGAGAACGTCATTGAAGGCTCGATAGCCAGCATGCAAAATTCCGAGCCGCTTGAGGAGCTTGAAGTGTTTCTAGAGAAGGCGACAACGGCGTACCTTGCGAGCACGGACAAGCCCGTGCGGAAAGTGAAAGCGGAGTTGGATTTTCACGAGGACGAATTCCTGACGCAGCTCAGGAAGGAGATTGACAAGAGCGAGGATTTCGAAAAGGAGATCGAGAGGTATGTGGCAGAAATTGCGGAGCAGGATCTGAAGAGGAGGAAGCTTATCTCAGCAGCACACCTGAAGTTTCTTGATACGGTTAAGAAGGCTGAGGAGGAGTTACTGCAGAGTATGAAGGCAGCTCGGCATGAGTTTGAGGTGGGTGTTGAAGCTGCAGCTGGGGAGTACAAGAAAGATGCAAAGACACATATCTTTTGGGAGCAGGAGTCCAAGGCAAAGAAAGACGTAGCTGCTTATGAGGCTCTACTACCTATTAAGGACTGATTAGTTTGTGGGGGCCAAGAGAAGATACTGCTGCAGATTTTTTTTGTCTGGTATTTATTAAGCGTGGGATGCCAGCTTGTGCCACCTGTTAGAAATACATCAGCGGCTTCAAGGGCATTGCTTGTTTTAAAGCAATGGTACCAGTATGTGTACCCTCAGTAATATTAAAATGGAAAGGTATTCATTATTGCAATTGCACCTACAAGCTAGGAACTGCATGATTTTTTTTGGAGGTTGACATACACTATACAATGTGTACATACATAGTCGCAAATGTTCGCTGCTGGTCTGACGAGAATGGGACGTTCCTACAGATGACACGACAGCGCCCCAGAGGAAGTAGACACAAACGTCCCTGTCGCCATTCATGATTTCAACTGCCCGAAATAGTTACACCCATACTAGTGATTGCCCACGAAAAACACACTCCCGCACCTTGTGGGATTTGCACAACCCACAAAACTTGCAATCTGAAATTTTCAGCAGGGGAGGACCATTTCAACTGTCTCAGAACAGATTGGGTTGCACGTACAAATATACTGTACAAACTTTTGAACCGAGTGTGTTTTGAACGGTCAAGACCAGCTGTGATGGTTCTTCACCACCACATTCATTTGATCCATGCCTGCTGATGCGTTACAGTACAGGCTCTTATCTTATCACATCTTCCCAGAGCAAAGCTGAAAGTGCTTGGACTGTACTGCTGAGAGCCGTTCTACACTCCAAAATCCAACACTGCTCCCTGTCCGCGTAGCCTCCAAGTGCCTGGTTTGCCTAGTACGCATACTAGTACTCATACTACTACTCATCGCGGCTCATGTCCCTTCAGTGCTGTAACCCGCGCGCGCCATAGATGTCTCGTGCGGCTTTCACCTCGTCCTCTTGACAACAACTCCAGCGGCCGCATTGAACGAGGCGGCGTCAATTGAACAACGGTCGACGCTCGCTCGCTCGCTCGCTCGCGTGTGTGTGTGCGTGGGCGTGGGCGTGGGCGACATGGGCATAGCGGTGGACCGGCTGTTGGAGCCGAGTCGCGTCCCCGAGGAGCTTTTCTGCCCTATTTGCAACGACCTTATCGACCCCGCTGACGCCACGGAGGTGCGGCCGCGGATCACGGAGCACCCACAGCTGCTGCGTAGCGTCGCAGCCTCACAGGCTCTCTGCCTCGTAGCCTCATAGCATCGTCTCGCGTAGCCTCGCTGCCTCGCTGTCTCGCTGTCTCGCTGCTTCCACTTGCCACGGACTTTGTAGGCCAATTCGGAGACTCACGCGAGGCTCGTAACGCCCCGGCCACGCCTCGGGGGTGTGAACAGTGACCACCCTCAGGAGCGTCGAACCCTGACGAGACTTGTCCGCGGAGTGTAAGGGATTCGTGTGGCTATTCTTAAGTCTTAGTCGACCAAACTTGGGCGTTGTTTGAGCCCGTATAGTGTGTGGAGGTGGAAGGGGGAAAGGAGGGAGTGACCGAGGAGAAGGAACCCTGGTGTTGGCTGGGGGGGAGGAGGAGCAGTAGAAGAATCCGATGGCAGTGCATTGTGAGAATGCCGAAGCCGCCGCCCTACGCGCGGCCAATCTTCCGTCTTTCGTGTTGGCATTGCCTGACGTGGCATGGAATGGCATGATATGACATGTTTTGACATGATATGCCGTGATATGGAATGGCATTACATGGCATGGTATGGCATGGTAGCAGGTGACCAAGTGCGGGCATGTGTTCTGCGGGACTTGCATCAACCAGGCCATGCAACACTGCAGCGAATGCCCGCAGGCAAGTTCCCTGACGCGCCTCGAATCTCTGACAATGAAAAACGGCTTCGTCCATCGATCCATCGATCCATCCATCCATCCATCCATCCATCCATCCAACGAACTATGTGTTCAGTGGGCCCCTGTCCAGTTGACTTTTGAGTCGACTCAAAAGTCATCTCTGACAATGAAAAACGGCTTCGTCCATCCATCCATCCATCCTGTCCAGTTTCGAGGCGCCTCAACACACACACGCCTCCATGCGTCGAATCCCATGTGTCCCCATGTCCCCATGTCCCCATGTCCCCATGTCCCCATGTCCCCATGTCCCCATGTCCCCATGTCCCCATGTCCCCATGTCCCCATGTCCCCATGTCCCCATGTCCCCATGTCCCCATGTCCCCATGTCCCCATGTCCCCATGTCCCCATGTCCCCATGTCCCCATGTCCCCATGTCCCCATGTCCCTCATGTCCCCATGTCCCCATGTCCCCATGTCCCCATGTCCCCATGTCCCCATGTCCCCATGTCCCCATGTCCCCATGTCCCCATGTCCCCATGTCCCCATGTCCCCATGTCCCCATGTCCCCATGTCCCCATGTCCCCATGTCCCCATGTCCCCATGTCCCCATGTCCCCATGTCCCCATGTCCCCATGTCCCCATGTCCCCATGTCCCCATGTCCCCATGTCCCCATGTCCCCATGTCCCCATGTCCCCATGTCCCCATGTCCCCATGTCCCCATGTCCCCATGTCCCCATGTCCCCATGTCCCCATGTCCCCATGTCCCCATGTCCCTCATGTCCCCATGTCCCCATGTCCCCATGTCCCCATGTCCCCATGTCCCCATGTCCCCATGTCCCCATGTCCCCATGTCCCCATGTCCCCATGTCCCCATGTCCCCATGTCCCCATGTCCCCATGTCCCCATGTCCCCATGTCCCCATGTCCCCATGTCCCCATGTCCCCATGTCCCCATGTCCCCATGTCCCTCATGTCCCCATGTCCCCATGTCCCCATGTCCCCATGTCCCCATGTCCCCATGTCCCCATGTCCCCATGTCCCATCATGTCCCCATGTCCCCATGTCCCCATGTCCCCATGTCCCCATGTCCCCATGTCCCCATGTCCCCATGTCCCCATGTCCCCATGTCCCCATGTCCCCATGTCCCCATGTCCCCATGTCCCCATGTCCCCATGTCCCTCATGTCCCCATGTCCCCATGTCCCCATGTCCCCATGTCCCCATGTCCCCATGTCCCCATGTCCCTCATGTCCCCATGTCCCCATGTCCCCATGTCCCCATGTCCCCATGTCCCCATGTCCCCATGTCCCCATGTCCCCATGTCCCCATGTCCCCATGTCCCCATGTCCCCATGTCCCCATGTCCCCATGTCCCCATGTCCCCATGTCCCCATGTCCCATGTCCCCATGTCCCCATGTCCCCATGTCCCCATGTCCCCATGTCCCCATGTCCCCATGTCCCCATGTCCCCATGTCCCCATGTCCCCATGTCCCCATGTCCCCATGTCCCCATGTCCCCATGTCCCCATGTCCCCATGTCCCCATGTCCCCATGTCCCCATGTCCCATGTCCCCATGTCCCCATGTCCCCATGTCCCCATGTCCCCATGTCCCCATGTCCCCATGTCCCCATGTCCCATGTCCCCATGTCCCCATGTCCCCATGTCCCCATGTCCCCATGTCCCTCATGTCCCCATGTCCCCATGTCCCCATGTCCCCATGTCCCCATGTCCCCATGTCCCCATGTCCCCATGTCCCCATGTCCCCATGTCCCTCATGTCCCCATGTCCCCATGTCCCCATGTCCCCATGTCCCCATGTCCCCATGTCCCCATGTCCCCATGTCCCCATGTCCCCATGTCCCCATGTCCCCATGTCCCCATGTCCCCATGTCCCCATGTCCCCATGTCCCCATGTCCCCATGTCCCCATGTCCCCATGTCCCCATGTCCCCATGTCCCCATGTCCCCATGTCCCCATGTCCCCATGTCCCCATGTCCCCATGTCCCCATGTCCCCATGTCCCCATGTCCCCATGTCCCTCATGTCCCCATGTCCCCATGTCCCCATGTCCCCATGTCCCCATGTCCCCATGTCCCCATGTCCCCATGTCCCCATGTCCCCATGTCCCTCATGTCCCCATGTCCCCATGTCCCCATGTCCCCATGTCCCCATGTCCCCATGTCCCCATGTCCCCATGTCCCCATGTCCCCATGTCCCCATGTCCCCATGTCCCCATGTCCCCATGTCCCTCATGTCCCCATGTCCCTCATGTCCCTCATGTCCCCATGTCCCCATGTCCCCATGTCCCCATGTCCCTCATGTCCCCATGTCCCCATGTCCCCATGTCCCCATGTCCCCATGTCCCTCATGTCCCTCATGTCCCCATGTCCCCATGTCCCCATGTCCCCATGTCCCCATGTCCCTCATGTCCCCATGTCCCCATGTCCCCATGTCCCCATGTCCCTCATGTCCCTCATGTCCCCATGTCCCCATGTCCCCATGTCCCCATGTCCCCATGTCCCCATGTCCCTCATGTCCCCATGTCCCCATGTCCCCATGTCCCTCATGTCCCTCATGTCCCCATGTCCCCATGTCCCCATGTCCCTCATGTCCCCATGTCCCCATGTCCCCATGTCCCCATGTCCCCATGTCCCCATGTCCCCATGTCCCCATGTCCCCATGTCCCCATGTCCCCATGTCCCCATGTCCCCATGTCCCTCATGTCCCCATGTCCCCATGTCCCCATGTCCCCATGTCCCCATGTCCCCATGTCCCCATGTCCCTCATGTCCCCATGTCCCCATGTCCCCATGTCCCCATGTCCCCATGTCCCCATGTCCCCATGTCCCCATGTCCCCATGTCCCCATGTCCCCATGTCCCCATGTCCCCATGTCCCCATGTCCCCATGTCCCCATGTCCCCATGTCCCCATGTCCCCATGTCCCCATGTCCCCATGTCCCCATGTCCCCATGTCCCCATGTCCCCATGTCCCCATGTCCCCATGTCCCCATGTCCCCATGTCCCCATGTCCCCATGTCCCCATGTCCCCATGTCCCCATGTCCCCATGTCCCCATGTCCCCATGTCCCCATGTCCCCATGTCCCCATGTCCCCATGTCCCCATGTCCCCATGTCCCCATGTCCCCATGTCCCCATGTCCCCATGTCCCCATGTCCCCATGTCCCCATGTCCCCATGTCCCCATGTCCCCATGTCCCCATGTCCCCATGTCCCCATGTCCCCATGTCCCCATGTCCCCATGTCCCCATGTCCCCATGTCCCCATGTCCCCATGTCCCTCATGTCCCCATGTCCCATGTCCCCATGTCCCCATGTCCCCATGTCCCTCATGTCCCCATGTCCCCATGTCCCCATGTCCCTCATGTCCCCATGTCCCCATGTCCCCATGTCCCCATGTCCCCATGTCCCCATGTCCCTCATGTCCCCATGTCCCCATGTCCCCATGTCCCCATGTCCCCATGTCCCCATGTCCCTCATGTCCCCATGTCCCTCATGTCCCCATGTCCCTCATGTCCCCATGTCCCCATGTCCCCATGTCCCTCATGTCCCCATGTCCCTCATGTCCCCATGTCCCCATGTCCCTCATGTCCCCATGTCCCCATGTCCCTCATGTCCCCATGTCCCCATGTCCCCATGTCCCCATGTCCCCATGTCCCCATGTCCCCATGTCCCTCATGTCCCTCATGTCCCCATGTCCCCATGTCCCCATGTCCCTCATGTCCCCATGTCCCCATGTCCCCATGTCCCCATGTCCCCATGTCCCCATGTCCCCATGTCCCCATGTCCCCATGTCCCCATGTCCCCATGTCCCCATGTCCCTCATGTCCCCATGTCCCCATGTCCCCATGTCCCCATGTCCCTCATGTCCCCATGTCCCCATGTCCCCATGTCCCCATGTCCCCATGTCCCCATGTCCCCATGTCCCCATGTCCCCATGTCCCCATGTCCCCATGTCCCCATGTCCCCATGTCCCTCATGTCCCCATGTCCCCATGTCCCTCATGTCCCCATGTCCCTCATGTCCCTCATGTCCCCATGTCCCCATGTCCCCATGTCCCTCATGTCCCCATGTCCCCATGTCCCCATGTCCCCATGTCCCCATGTCCCTCATGTCCCTCATGTCCCCATGTCCCCATGTCCCCATGTCCCCATGTCCCCATGTCCCCATGTCCCCATGTCCCCATGTCCCCATGTCCCCATGTCCCCATGTCCCTCATGTCCCCATGTCCCCATGTCCCTCATGTCCCCATGTCCCTCATGTCCCTCATGTCCCCATGTCCCCATGTCCCCATGTCCCCATGTCCCCATGTCCCCATGTCCCCATGTCCCCATGTCCCTCATGTCCCTCATGTCCCCATGTCCCCATGTCCCTCATGTCCCCATGTCCCTCATGTCCCCATGTCCCCATGTCCCCATGTCCCTCATGTCCCCATGTCCCTGATGTCCCCATGTCCCCATGTCCCTGATGTCCCCATGTCCCCATGTCCCCATGTCCCCATGTCCCTCATGTCCCCATGTCCCCATGTCCCCATGTCCCCATGTCCCCATGTCCCCATGTCCCTCATGTCCCTCATGTCCCTCATGTCCCTCATGTCCCCATGTCCCCATGTCCCCATGTCCCCATGTCCCCATGTCCCTCATGTCCCCATGTCCCCATGTCCCTCATGTCCTCATGTCCCCATGTCCCTCATGTCCCCATGTCCCCATGTCCCCATGTCCCCATGTCCCCATGTCCCCATGTCCCCATGTCCCCATGTCCCCATGTCCCCATGTCCCTCATGTCCCCATGTCCCCATGTCCCCATGTCCCCATGTCCCCATGTCCCCATGTCCCCATGTCCCCATGTCCCTCATGTCCCCATGTCCCCATGTCCCCATGTCCCCATGTCCCCATGTCCCCATGTCCCTCATGTCCCCATGTCCCTCATGTCCCCATGTCCCCATGTCCCTCATGTCCCCATGTCCCCATGTCCCTCATGTCCCCATGTCCCCATGTCCCCATGTCCCTCATGTCCCTCATGTCCCCATGTCCCCATGTCCCCATGTCCCTCATGTCCCCATGTCCCCATGTCCCCATGTCCCCATGTCCCCATGTCCCCATGTCCCCATGTCCCCATGTCCCCATGTCCCTCATGTCCCTCATGTCCCCATGTCCCCATGTCCCCATGTCCCCATGTCCCTCATGTCCCCATGTCCCCATGTCCCCATGTCCCCATGTCCCTCATGTCCCTCATGTCCCCATGTCCCTCATGTCCCCATGTCCCTCATGTCCCTCATGTCCCCATGTCCCCATGTCCCTCATGTCCCCATGTCCCTCATGTCCCCATGTCCCCATGTCCCCATGTCCCTCATGTCCCCATGTCCCTCATGTCCCCATGTCCCCATGTCCCTGATGTCCCCATGTCCCCATGTCCCCATGTCCCCATGTCCCTCATGTCCCCATGTCCCCATGTCCCCATGTCCCCATGTCCCCATGTCCCTCATGTCCCTCATGTCCCTCATGTCCCCATGTCCCCATGTCCCCATGTCCCTCATGTCCCTCATGTCCCCATGTCCCCATGTCCCCATGTCCCTCATGTCCCCATGTCCCCATGTCCCCATGTCCCTATGTCCCCATGTCCCCATGTCCCTCATGTCCCCATGTCCCTCATGTCCCCATGTCCCTCATGTCCCTCATGTCCCCATGTCCCCATGTCCCCATGTCCCCATGTCCCCATGTCCCTCATGTCCCCATGTCCCCATGTCCCCATGTCCCCATGTCCCCATGTCCCTCATGTCCCCATGTCCCTCATGTCCCTCATGTCCCCATGTCCCCATGTCTCTCATGTCCCCATGTCCCCATGTCCCCATGTCCCCATGTCCCTCATGTCCCCATGTCCCCATGTCCCCATGTCCCCATGTCCCCATGTCCCCATGTCCCCATGTCCCCATGTCCCCATGTCCCTCATGTCCCTCATGTCCCCATGTCCCCATGTCCCCATGTCCCCATGTCCCCATGTCCCTCATGTCCCCATGTCCCCATGTCCCCATGTCCCCATGTCCCCATGTCCCTCATGTCCCCATGTCCCTCATGTCCCTCATGTCCCCATGTCCCCATGTCCCTCATGTCCCCATGTCCCCATGTCCCCATGTCCCCATGTCCCCATGTCCCCATGTCCCTCATGTCCCCATGTCCCCATGTCCCTCATGTCCCCATGTCCCCATGTCCCTCATGTCCCCATGTCCCCATGTCCCCATGTCCCCATGTCCCTCATGTCCCCATGTCCCCATGTCCCCATGTCCCCATGTCCCCATGTCCCTCATGTCCCCATGTCCCTCATGTCCCTCATGTCCCCATGTCCCCATGTCCCTGATGTCCCCATGTCCCCATGTCCCCATGTCCCCATGTCCCTCATGTCCCCATGTCCCTCATGTCCCCATGTCCCCATGTCCCTCATGTCCCCATGTCCCCATGTCCCTCATGTCCCCATGTCCCCATGTCCCCATGTCCCTCATGTCCCTCATGTCCCCATGTCCCCATGTCCCCATGTCCCTCATGTCCCCATGTCCCCATGTCCCCATGTCCCCATGTCCCCATGTCCCCATGTCCCCATGTCCCCATGTCCCCATGTCCCTCATGTCCCTCATGTCCCTCATGTCCCCATGTCCCCATGTCCCCATGTCCCCATGTCCCTCATGTCCCCATGTCCCCATGTCCCCATGTCCCCATGTCCCCATGTCCCTCATGTCCCTCATGTCCCCATGTCCCTCATGTCCCCATGTCCCTCATGTCCCTCATGTCCCCATGTCCCCATGTCCCTCATGTCCCCATGTCCCTCATGTCCCCATGTCCCCATGTCCCCATGTCCCTCATGTCCCCATGTCCCTCATGTCCCCATGTCCCCATGTCCCTGATGTCCCCATGTCCCCATGTCCCCATGTCCCCATGTCCCCATGTCCCCATGTCCCCATGTCCCCATGTCCCCATGTCCCTCATGTCCCTCATGTCCCTCATGTCCCTCATGTCCCTCATGTCCCCATGTCCCCATGTCCCCATGTCCCCATGTCCCCATGTCCCCATGTCCCCATGTCCCTCATGTCCCCATGTCCCCATGTCCCCATGTCCCCATGTCCCTCATGTCCCCATGTCCCTCATGTCCCTCATGTCCCCATGTCCCCATGTCCCTCATGTCCCCATGTCCCCATGTCCCCATGTCCCCATGTCCCCATGTCCCTCATGTCCCCATGTCCCCATGTCCCCATGTCCCCATGTCCCCATGTCCCTCATGTCCCCATGTCCCCATGTCCCCATGTCCCCATGTCCCCATGTCCCTCATGTCCCCATGTCCCCATGTCCCTCATGTCCCCATGTCCCCATGTCCCCATGTCCCCATGTCCCCATGTCCCCATGTCCCTGATGTCCCCATGTCCCCATGTCCCCATGTCCCCATGTCCCCATGTCCCCATGTCCCCATGTCCCCATGTCCCCATGTCCCTCATGTCCCTCATGTCCCTCATGTCCCTCATGTCCCTCATGTCCCCATGTCCCCATGTCCCCATGTCCCCATGTCCCCATGTCCCCATGTCCCCATGTCCCTCATGTCCCCATGTCCCCATGTCCCCATGTCCCCATGTCCCTCATGTCCCCATGTCCCTCATGTCCCTCATGTCCCCATGTCCCCATGTCCCTCATGTCCCCATGTCCCCATGTCCCCATGTCCCCATGTCCCCATGTCCCTCATGTCCCCATGTCCCCATGTCCCCATGTCCCCATGTCCCCATGTCCCTCATGTCCCCATGTCCCCATGTCCCCATGTCCCCATGTCCCCATGTCCCTCATGTCCCCATGTCCCCATGTCCCCATGTCCCCATGTCCCCATGTCCCCATGTCCCCATGTCCCCATGTCCCTCATGTCCCCATGTCCCCATGTCCCCATGTCCCCATGTCCCCATGTCCCCATGTCCCCATGTCCCCATGTCCCCATGTCCCCATGTCCCCATGTCCCCATGTCCCCATGTCCCCATGTCCCACGTGCCCCACGTGCATGAGTCCCATGTGTTCCACGCCCACTATCCGCGCCAGCAGTGCCGAAAGCATGAGCGTGCCAGGAGCGATGAAAGACCCTTAGGAGAGTCTGATTTGTTACCAACCTCTCCCCCGATCCCCTCTTCCTCTTCCCGTCGTCCCCACTTCCCCCCACACACCAGGACCGGCAGCCGATAACAGAGGCACACCTGCGGCTAGCCAGGGAGCACAACCGCTTTGTGTACCGCCTGCTCGGCAGGTGAGCGCGCCAACTTTTGAGTCGACTCAAAAGTCACACCTGCGGCTGGCCGGGGAGCACAACCGCTTTGTGTATCGCCTGCTCGGCAGGTGAGCGCGCCATCCATGCACGCATGCACTCGTGCTCCCATACACGCATGGCCTCATATACCCATCACACACATCGGTGCACGTGGGGTACATCACATCGTTGCACGTGGGGTACATCACATCGTTGCACGTGGGGTACATCACATCGTTGCACGCGGGGTACATCACATCACCCGTGCCCCTCCCCCTCCCCTTCCCCTCTCCATCCACCCGTGTGCCCCACAGGTCCAGGATCCGGTGTGTGCACCACGCATTGGAATGCGGGTGGACGGGAGATGGTCTTTGAGACGCCTCGAATCCCACCACCCCACACACCCCGCACCCCGCCCCCCTCCATACCCCGCAGGTCCAGGATCCGCTGCGTGCACCACGCGTTGGGATGCGGGTGGACGGGGGAGGTGTCAGAGGACCGATCACACCGGGCCACGTGTCCCAAGGAGCGGGTGGCGTGCACGCACTGCAGCGCTGCCGTGCGCCGCGACCACTTCACTGCCCACGCTGCCTCCTGTCAAGCGTGCAGGGTAAGATTAGCCTTCTGAGGCGGCTCAGAAGCACCGGCCCACGTGTCCCAAGGAGCGAGTAGCGTGCACCCACTGCAGCGCTGCCGTGCGTCCCGACCACTTCACTGCCCACGCTGCCTCCTGTCAAGCGTGCAGGGTACGATCGATCTGCTGAAGTTGCTTTTGAGTTGACTCAAGAGCCACCATGAGGCGTTTCAAAAGCTGCCTCCTATCAAGAGTTCCGGGTACGATCACCTGAAGTTCTTGCGGCGGTGTTTTCCCTCGTCTCGATCTCGTCTAGTCTCGTCTCGTGCCTTTCCATGACTTTTTGTCTCGTCTTGTCGCATCGTGTCTTGTCCTCCAGGTTTCCTCACTCTAGCACTTCTGTGGTTGCTTATTCTTCTTGTCGAGTGTTTGCCCTCTGTCTCGGCTGCTCGCAGAAATGCAGTGAGAAGGACGCTCAGATTGCCACATTGCTGCAGGAGAAGCTGGCTGTTTCCAAGAAGTTTCTGGAGGTGTCGGAGTCACTGCGAGCCAAGCAGGTGCGGAGTGCGTGCGGGTGTGGGGATGGAGGGGCGCGACTGACAAGGCATTGTGTGATTGCACGATGCCTTATATACACTTCTGCAATCTTGTAACAAACATTCAATCATGTCCCAATCATCTAACAGCAGTCATGCGAGAATCTAACAAGCATTTCTTTTCCTTCTTTCCCCACTTCTTCCCCCATCACAGAATCATCCTTCTCTTGCCTTCCCTCTCGCCCACTCCCCCTTTCACTCCCCTCTAAACCCTGTCACACACCCCCCTCCACATGCCATCCACCCCCAGGCCCAGCCTCTCCCCCCCATCCATTCCTCCCATCGCTACAACATCCGGCCACTCTCGTCCTGATCCCATATCCCTCTCCTGCCATTGCCTCCATCTCCTCTACTCTACCCATGCCCTTCACCCCCAGGTCCAACCTCTCGGCCCCATCCAGTCATACCATCGCTACAGCATCCTCCCTCTCGCGCACCTCCTCTCCACATGGCTAACCAACCCTCCCACACACCCTCACCCCGACCGCAACCTGGTCTTCGAGAGCGTCAAGCGCTGCCACGACGACGCGCAGCGCTTCCGATACGAGGACCCGTGTATGTTTGACTCCCAGCTGCTGCTGCTGCTGGCGGCTGCTAATGCCACGGAGTGGTTTTCGGAGAATCAGAAGGGGTGCATCCGGCGATGGCTGTGGGAGGTTTCGCAGCAGCACTTGACGTGAGTGTGTGCTGTGGGGGGAGGGGAGGGGGGGGGGAGGGTGAGAGGTTAGAGACCATGTGGGCTGAAGGCAACTCCGAGGAGTTATTATTTTCTCTGTTTAAGGGAAGAAAGTTCTTCTAGCCGTTTGGGTATGAGTGCACACTACTGGTTTTCCAGTGTCATGTGTTTGTCATTCCTCCTCCCTCGCCCTCTCTTCTCATCCGTTTCTCCCCCACCCCCCACCCCCAACCCCACTCCCTTCCGCCCCCTCTTCCTTCCACTCCCCATTTGTCAGTGCCGAGCCTGTAGAAGAATACTTCTAACCAGTGACTACCCTCTTCCACCGCCTCACCCTCTCGCTTTGTTAACATATCCCCGCACAACCCTCCATGCAACCATTGCTTTTGTTATTCGCTGCCACAATATCTGCTGCTGCTGCTGCTGCTGCTGCTGCTGCTCCTGCTGTCTGATCCTAGTCCAATCCACTCAACCCAACCCTTCGGCACGGCAAGGTAGATTCCTCTCTTGGGGTCCTGTTCACATCGTGAGTCACCTTGAGTCCTCACATCAGCCTTTGACAGGAACGGGGCTGTGATAGGCTGTGGGTGGCACAACCCTAACCAGCAATCTCGCTGCTGGGTTACGTTGCCGGGGTTTCCATGCCATGCATTTCTTACAGTAGCTTCTTGTAATAGCCGTCTTACCAGAACTAGTTTTAGTGCAGTTTGTGCAGTTTCACAACAACACAAAGGAAAAGCGCCCCAGCAAATATGAAAATGACAATGTTCGCGCCCCTAGACAATGCTGTGATTCCCCCAAGATGGAAAGGATGTTGAAGTTAGGATAATTCAAAATGATACTGCATATATATTGGTACAAGAAAAACACCGTACACACATGCACCCGTTACGTTTAAACACCATGTCCCAATAAAGAGGCGTTTACATGGTTACAACCACCAAAACCTCCAACCACAGAAGTAACATCATATAATACGGTAGCGTCTCGTTCACTTAGAAGGTGGCGGCGGCGGCAAAAGCCGGACGAGAAGATTGTACAAAAACTGCGGATACACATCCAACGGGCCAGGCAGGCAATAGTGCAAGCAGTCAGGCTGCTTCTTATCCGGCACCACACCCTTGTGCCCATCCCACCGCAGCGCTAACATCCCCTCCACATCCATATACACCCCCCCTGCCTCCTCCACCACCTCCTTCACCAGCTCATTCTGCTCCCGCAAGTCCTTCCAGAAATACGGCAGGATCTCCTGCGGCTGCGGTTTTTCCAGCGGCGCCTCTTGCCCCGCGCAGCCGATATGCCCGGGCGGAGTGTTGCGGTAGATCACGAGCTTGTCGGGATAGTGCTGCCGGATGTATCTTGTTGCGGAGCGCACGCCGCTGAGAAAATCCTCCGTGGCGGTCCAGTGCGCGCCGCGGTTGAGGAGGATAATGTCGGCGGTGGCGAGGTGCGAGAGGGCTGGGAGCACCCACGGCATGTATTCAAACTCGGGCGGGCGCGGGTCAAAGATATAGAGCCGGTCTGCTCTGATGTAGTCTAGACGGAAGCCGGGGCAGAGGGTGGAGTTAAATACGAAGCTGCGGGGAACAGGAGGGGGTGGAGAGGAGAGGGCGCGGGAGAGGGAGAGGAAGATGGAGAGGGAGAGAGGGTGAGAAGAGAAGAGGGGGAAGCAGAGGAGTGGGAGAAGAAAACAACAAAAAGGATGACAAGAGACGATGACGAGGGAGGAGCAAGACCAGAAAACGTTCATAAAAACCCCTACATAACAATCCATGCTTAATCCACTCTTCCCCAGCACCCACCAATAAAAGCCCCTCCCCTTTACCCTGCTCCTCTCCCTCCTCCCCACCCACCCACTCTCTCCCTCTCACCTTTAACAAAAGTCATGCAGGTACCGAGACGGGTCATTGTTCAGACCAGCAGCGGCGCTTTCAGTCGGCTGAAAACACGCCCCCCCCCACCCACTCTCTCCCTCTCACAACCTACGCAAGACGTGCAGGTAGCGCGTCAGGACATTATGCAGAGTAGCGGCAGTGCTTTCAGTAGACTCAAATTTGTCCTCCCCCCACCACCCCCTACCTCTCACCTTCTACAAAAGTCGTGCAGGTAGCGAGTCGGGTCATTGTCCAAAACAGCAGCGCACCCCTCTGGGGCCTCGATGTCTTGAATGAGCCCCCACGCGGGCTTGCGCACGCCTGTGGCGAGAGCGTTCATTAGAGACGTGGTGAGCTGGAACTGCTTGGAGTCCCCCACCACCACCATGCGCCGGTTCTTTAGAACCCGCTCGCAGAACGCTGATGGGTCAAAGGGAAGCCAGGCGGAGGAGGGGGAGGGGGAGGAGGAGGAGGAGGGAGAAGAAGAGGAGGTGCTTTGTGGCGGTGGTGTAACACCTGACTTCTTGAGCTGCCGTCGTTGTTGCTGTTGCTGTGTGATGTTAGGGAAAGACTCTACTGCTCCCAGCCTCCTTCTCCTTGTCTGTTCCTTCCCTCCACCTCCTCCTCCTCTTCCTCCTCCTCCTGCTGCTGCTGCTCCACCCTCCTCGCCCCCCAAGTCACCGCATGCCCCTTCGTCAACCACCCATTCATACTTCAACGAAGGACTTACCTTCCACCCTTTCCCATCCGCCTTTCCCTTTGCCTTTGCTGCCATGGCATCTGCGGCATTTCCAGTCAGGTACCCTCGCCCCTCCGCCCGATTCCGCGCGTCGCATTGATTGCTGTAGCCTCGGAAATCCCAGGGCAGATTGCGGGGGGTAGGGTTCTCCACCCACGTGCCTCGCCTCCCCACACACGCCGCCCACTTCTTGAACTTCCTCACTTGAACCTTGTCTTGGAGCAGTGAACCGGGTATGAAGTCTCGGTTAAGCAGGGCTCGGGTAGCACCTCCCCCAGGTAACACCGGGCTATGAAACACCACTGATTCAATGTGAGAGAAGAAACGTCGGACTGTTACAGGGTGGCAGTAGAGGGTTACTGGGTCATCCTCGTCAAGAGCTCTCCTGGTTCGTTTGCAGATATAAGACGCGTATTTGAGACCAAGTACGTGAGCAAAGGCACGGTGGGAATTCGTGGCTGATTCCCGCGGCTGGTACTCGAACACTGTAGCGCCGGGCGGCATGAAAATCATGTTCAGGAGCGCCTCGCCCGGCGTGGTCACCAGTAAAGCTGCCCGGGAGAAAAGTTTCCTTGTGGGCTCAAACCCCTTGCCTGCCAGATGCTGCTGTATCCGACCGAACCAGAAATTGTCTTTCAGGGCAGCTTCATGCTCGGCCGCTCGTTCCAACTCCAACACCCCCGGCGGCTGTGCATTGATCACCACCCAATCCTCCTTTGGAATCGGACTGGCTTCTAGCTCTCCTGCCGCTGCTCCTGTTCCCACCCCTCCCGCTTCTGCTGCTGCTTCTTCTACAGTAGCAGGCACGGGAGCCACTACCCGTCTGCGCCAGTCCTTGTCAAAAACAGGGAGACCAGCAGGGGGGAGGAGGTGGGAGGAGCGGAGGGAGCGCCAGAGTGCAGGGCTGGGGCGGGAGCAGTGTTGGAAGAAGGGCTGCACGAGGCGCTCCACGAAGATGAGGTGCTGCGCCTCCTCCTGTAGGACCAGCGCTCGGCGCGACGGGTCCCCGCCTAGGATGTGCAGCGCCAGCGAGTGCAGGTACTGTGTGGAGGGGTGGGGTATGGCATGGGGCGTGGGGTGTGGGTGCGGTGTGGGGTGTGGGGTGTGGGGTGTGAATAGATGGGGAGAGGGGAATGAAGTATTGAATGGCATGGGAAGGAATGGGAGAAAGGCGGGAGGATGGCGATTGCGAGGCGAGGTAGCACGTAGAATGTGTGTAAGACAAAGAACAGCGCACATCGTGCTCTACGAGCTTGGGCAGCAGAAGGGCGAGCGGGAGGAAGAGCGGAGCTGGTGCACGAGGCACGAGGTGCACTAGGAGAACAAAGAGAGTTGGGGTTGGGGTGCAAGTCCCATCCCAAGCTCCTGTCCTGCCTAACGCGAGCACACCGTACCTTCTTCTCATGGACAAGAAACCGAGCGTCGTGCTCGACGAGCTTGGGCAGCAGCGGGGCGAGCGGGAGGAAGAGCGGCAGCTGGTGCACGAGGCGGTGGAATACGGTGTGGAAGCGCGGGTGGCGTGCCTTGAGATGCCTCTGGGGGGACGGCACCATGAGATTCACGACCAGCTTGTGTAGGGTCACCTGCGTGCCTCTGTGGTACACGAACTGATGGAAGAGAAGGGGGGAACCAGGGGGAAAGGGGGGAGAGGAGAGAGGGGGGAAGAAGAAGGAGAGCAGGCATTGAGGTGCCTCTGGGGGGATGGCACCATGAGGTTCACGACCAGCTTGTGTAGGGTCACCTGCGTGCCTCTGTGGTACACAAACTGGGAATGGAGTGAGGGAAGAGGGCGGGAGGGCGGGAGGAAGAAACAGAGGGGGAGAGAATGATGATGAGTCAGGGGGGCGGCACCATGAGGCTCAAGACCAGCTTGTGGCGGGTTACTTGCGTGCCTCTGTGGTACACGAACTGGGGGGGGGGGGGGGGGAGGGGGTGAAGGAGGGAGGGGAAGAGGGCGGGGGAAAGGGAGGACACAAGGAGAGGGCGGAGTGATGAGTCATGAGGGCCATGACGAGCGGGAAGAGAGAGAGGTTGTTGCAGGACGACGCAGAAAGGGGGGTAAGAGGGAGAGAGAGCAGTGATGAGTCATGCAGGGAGGGGATTTAGGGAAGCGGAGGGGCCGGTGTGGTACAGGATTGACGGACTTTTAAACATGTCTCACTGAATTCGCTGAGGTACACACACGGCCTCAGAGGGTGGAAAGGGAGAGAGGGGGGGTGGAGAGAGCATGAGGTGGAGGGAGAGAATGAGGGCGGGGGGAGAGAATGAGAGCGGGGGGAGAGAATGAGGGCGGGGGGAGAGAATGAGGGCGGGGGGAGAGAATGAGGGCGGGGGGAGTGAACGAGGGCGGGGAGAGAGAATGAGGGCGGGGAGAAAGCAAGGGTGGGACAATGAGAAACCGTCCGTCATTCACACCTCAAACCCCACCCCTCCTTCCCCACCCGCTTCACATCCTCCCCTCCCTTTCAACGCTTCCCACCCACCAAACCCCTCTCCATTCCCATTCCATCTCTCTATCCCACTTCATCTTCTCCCCCGCATCCCATCTCACTCCTCCCCTTCCATTTTCCCCTCCTTCCCCTCCCTCTCTCTCCCCCTCCCACTCTCTCTCCCCCTCCCACTCTTTTCCCTTTCCCCCTCTCACCCCCTCCCACTCTCCTCCCTTTCCCCCTCTCTCCCTCTCCTACTCTCCTCCCCATTCCCCCTCTCTCCCCCTCCCCCCTTCGCGCACCTTCTGGCGGCGCAAGTGGGGGCGGCACCCCCCTGCGCGGAAGACATGCGAGGCGTTGAACACCAGCCCCCAGGGGTCCACGAACACGTTGTGCAGCACAAACACCTGCCCCGCCCACCCGCCCGCCCCAGGTAACACCTGCTCCGCCCCCACCATCCCCGCAGACGCCTCCTCCTCCCCCAACTCCATCCCTGCGCCCCCACCCATTCCAAATCCTCCCCCTCCCCCTGATCCCCCCCCTCCCCCTTCTCCTGCAGGAGCATCTTGCTGGAATTCATCCTCTTCTTCTTCCTCGGGCTCCACAGTGCAATTAGCCGGGAACATGTCGTTAAGTACCACTTTCCCTTTGTGCAACACCGGGCAAACTATACCCCGCTCACTACTCCCTTCTCTCGGTTCAACCTCTCTAGCCTCCCTGCCCTCTCTCCCCCCTCCCCCGCCTCCCCCGGGCCCTCCTAAACCGGGATCCACTAAACCGGGGTTCCAGCATGCTTCTATGCCCAGCCCACACATTTCCATATTAGGGCAGTCCCCTCCCCTACACGCCAGGTGCCTGGGTTTCAACCTCCTGCCTCCCACCCACCCTCCCAGCAACTCCTCCTCCTTCGCTTCAGGACCGAATACTGCACCGCCTCCCCCTTTTTCCGGAAAGAAGCTAAGGCTGAGCTCCGCGAGCTGCTTTCGCCGGATCGCGCGGTTTAAGGTGCGGATGTTCTTATGACCCGGCACGTGGTCTAGAAGCGCCTCGTTGGCTAAAACGCGGCGAGAAGAGGCCCTAGGAGGGAAGGAGAAGGCGTGAGAGGAGGAGGAGGGGGAGGAGGCGGAGAAGGTGGAGGAGGGGGAGAAGGATTGAGCGACATTGAGTAGGGCGAGGGAGAGGAGGACAGGAAAGAGCGGGGGAAGAGAGGTGGAGACGAAGCGGAGAGATGAGGGGCTCGCCATTAGAGTGGCCTTCGAAGGGGTTGAACAAGCCGTGAGAGTGCTTTTCTTATGCCGCTGAAAACGCCGTGAGAGTGGTTCTCGAGGCGCCTGAAAATGCCATGAGAGTGCGTGGCGGTAACGAGGTTCACGAGGTGAAAGTTCCTGTAACGAGAAAGTCAGTGGCGAATGCAAATTCGCAAGCTAAATTATTCAATTCAGTGAACGGATCGAGCAATTCAAACTAACGATGAGTATAGATAACTGGAAAAACACTAGCGCTTCGAGTCACATGATACGCCAGGACGCTACCCATACTAGGAAGCCATTCCTGCATGACCCGCCGTTTCCCGTTCGTAAGGGACACCGCGCCTTGGTAACGCTCCGAATCAGAAGCACGCGAGTGCGAGAAAGTCACATCGTTTGGCAAGGCGCGGTACGGGAAGGCAGTGCGTACGTGCGAACCTACGCCGATCGGCCAACTATCGTGATAATATTTGATGGATGTCAATGAGCACGGTTTGTGATCAGCTCTTATCACAAGCCCTGCCGGCGTGTGAACATTTATCGAGGTGCCACTGGTGGTGCTCCTGGCGCTGCTGCTGCTGTTGAGGGAAAGAACTGCTGAGGGAACCAAGTGTTGGGATGAGATGGGCTGGTTGGCTGGCAGTCGTGACTCGTGTGAAGTGAGTGGGTGGGGTGATCCTGCGGTGCGGCTGGTCGCCTCGCCATTGGTTGGTTGGGAGTCGAATCAGGTGAATCATGTATCGTATGCATGAAGCGCTGACTTGATGAGTCGAGTGCAATGCTTCAGGTCCGATAGTTGCTGAAACCTGACGGCACACTGTACTAATCTGATGGTTCTTCGTAAAGTTGGACGCAATTCGTGATGCTACAAAGTGCACCAGGTACAGCCTAGAATCATAACAAAATATGGATGAAATACAACTATCTCTCAAATAATTTCAATTTTGAGAGATCCCTTCTTGCCGCTTCCTTCCCCAACGGTCACCCCTCCCTTCTCATCACCAGTAACTCCATCCTTTGCATCCTTTTCTCCTTCCATCCCCTCCACCACATGCACCATTTTCCCATGCTCCTTATCATTTCCCTGCACATGCACCAACACCCGAGCCACCATCTTTGCGCTCCCTTCATCCAACCCCAGACACAGCTTCCTCACATCCCTTTCCCCAGCCCACATGCGCTTCACACTCTCTCCCACCTTCCATCCATCTGCCACCAGCACTGCCAGAAGCTGGTCTTCTATTCGTTTTTTGTCCTCCAGAGCTTCATGCCACGGTACCGATGCTATCGCTTCTAATGCACCGTTTATTGCATCCAACGCTGCTTCTAATCTCGGGTGATTCTTCTTCGCCTCCTGCTTCTGCTGCAGCTGAATTGCAGCTACTTCTGCTGAGGCAGCAGCAGCTTTGGCGTCCTCTTTCGCAAGTTGCTGTGCGACAGCGACAGGAGAGAGGAGGTCCCAGTAACCCTTGGGCCACACAAATTGAGAAGACACTCCACAGGCTGGAGTAAAGTGGACAGAGGAAACCACAGGAGAAGGGACAGGGGTTACAGCAAGAAGGCGCAGGTGAGGGTGTCAGGACGAACGGGAGTGGAAATGATTAAAAAAAGGGGATAATCAGGGAGGTAAGGACGGAAATAAACTGAGACAGGAATGAGATTAGAAAGAAGAAAGGAAATGCGAGAAACGGGATGACCAAGCGAAGCAGCATGGAGAAGCAAAAAGTTTCTCTCTCTCTGTCTATGTTATCTTCTACTCCCCTCTACCCACCTTGGAAGAAGGCTGATAGTTGCCGGCCCACCAAATCCTTGCAGTTACCACCAGTTGTCCTTATCTTAAGCTGCACCATCCGCAGCTTCTCTAAACCTTCATCCTTCCCATCACCCGATACCTCTCCCCCCCCTTCTTTCTGCAAATCATCACTTTCCTCGGCTGCTTCCTTTTGGTCCCGAGTCTCTTCTCTAGACCTAATGTGGAAAGTCAGATCCAAGGTCCCGGCTGCTGGGTGCTCGACATTGTGCGGAGCAAGGGAGTTGAGGAAGCGTAGGAGAGCGGTAAGGGATCGCTCGTTCTCCGATGCGATCTTCTCCATGGCTGCCGTATTCGCATGTTTCTCGCCGCTGCTGATGTTGGTAGCGCTGCTGGTATGGTTGACAGCTTCTGCAGAAGGCCCCGCAATTGAGTTTCCCCCTTGCGAAGCTGGTAAAGGCTCCTTCCCATCGGCATCCGTCCCGTCGCCCGCAGTTGATCTGGATCCGACCGAATCTTTGGCAAGATTCTCCGGCAGGACGAGAAGCCTGTGGACCAGATCGTCCAATACCTGGGTGACATCTGGCAGATCGGCTTCCCGCGCTAAGCCCTTCGCTAATCGACGGCTCCCGCCACCAGTACTGCTATAAGCTTTCGTCGCTTGCTTCGCATCCAGCGACGGAGATTGCTTCGCGTCGTGTGGATCAGCTTGCTTCGGATCCTCCGGCAAAGATTGCTTCTCATCGTGTGGCTGAGCTATCTTCGGATCCTGCTGCTGAGCATTATTCAGATGCTGCTGAGGAGATCTTTCCAAGTCCGGTGGTTGAGACTGCTTCACGTCTTGAAGCCGATCTGGATCAGTCGCAACGTTGTGATTAGCGCCTTGAGTACCTGTAACGAGGTTGGAACTAGCCAGGCGTGTCTCAGACGAAAACGATGCCCGCGATACAGTCAGTACGCGACGGTGTGGACTTCGCGCGACCGCATGAGGATGTGCCGATCTGCGAACGAGCAAACTGTTGGATAAAGCTCTCGCACAGAACGCGGAAAAACTGGCCGATGCTTGGGGAACGGAGCACGTGGAGCCGGACAGAGCTGGAGTACGCGGATTAGCGAGCGGTGAGAACGAAGAAGAGGATACGACTACAGCTGGATGTGCTGTGTGGCCCAGACGCTGGAGAAGGGTCTGAACAGCTCGCCGTGGAACGCGCTGAGACGCCATGGCTGGAGTATACATTTGTAGGGAGTGCGCCCCACAGGTTTGGGGCAACTTTTCAAATTTCAAAAGATTTTGAACCCCTCCTTTCAAATGTATACCCGAGCTTTAAGGGTGTGAGGGGTTGGGGATTGATCTCGAGTGTGCGGTGGGAGACTGTGCTACACTCTGTCCGCCCTGCAAATGTTGCTGCTAATGTGAATGCACAATGCACAATGTCAAACGGTTTACAAAACTGTACGTTTAGATCCACTGTACATTCTACAACCCGAATACTGCCTGCTTAGGCACGCGAGTCCAGGCTAGGCTGATGTGATAACATCCAGCAATCTTTGAAGCCAGCAATTTCCTTCCTTCAGATTTGCAAATCTTTGACCAAATTTGCTCGTTTTCACCATGGCGTCCCGTTCGGCTTGTTTCTCGCTTTTTGCGTCCCTTCTGATTGCCACCATAACTGTGGCAACAGCAAACGTTCTGGTCCTCGACGACAACAACTACAAGAGCACGGTGAGAAGCAGCTATTAGCTATTTGGCGAAATTTGTGTCAGTCAGAATGCGACCGTTGTGACACATGTCAAACTTCTCTCCACGGATGAGCTTATGCTTCTGTGCAGCTTGAGGACAAGAGCAAGGCCTATTTTATCAAGTACTTCGCGCCGTGGTGCGGCCACTGGTAAGCTTCATCACCGGCATTTCCTTCCGATTTTTTACGAATCTCTTCGATCAACTGACATGCCTTCGTGATTTCGAATGCCAAATTCGTTTCTACGCGTTTCCTTCCGTTCCTCTCATTCAGCAAGCGTCTCGCTCCTGCTTGGGAGGAGTTGTCTAACTCCGCTCCGCCGGAGGTGGTAGTTGCGCACGTAGACTGCACCGTCTCGACTAAAGTCTGCGAGGAGCAGGAGGTATGCGGCGACATTGTTTCTGTTTTTTTAGGAATGGCCCTTGATAGTACCATAAGTACTTACGGTATCTGTGATCTCTTCGTTATAACCTGTGTCTATTTGGCAGATTCGTGGATATCCCACTCTGAAGCTCTTTGTTGGTGGCAAGTTCCGCGAGCACTACGAGGGTGAACGTGAGATTGCAGCTCTCAAGTCGTTTGTGGAGGATGTTGCAGAGGATGTCAAGGACGCTCTCACGGAGTCCTCGTAGATAAGAAAATGATGTGATGTATTGTTAATTCTCCTGGTGAGCTGTATAACGTGAGTATTGAATGTTTGTCAAGAACGCTATGTGTCCGCCAGCCATTGGGCACACCTGCTTGAAGAAAATAATCAATGGGGCAATGAGGACGTGAGCATGGCAAGCTGTTTACAACACAAACCAGAGAGAAAGCTGACAAGCTGTCACATAGCAGTACATTTGGAGCCAGCAAAATATCTACTACCGCTACCCCTTCCCTCGGGTCAGGACCCACGTATTCCTGGCTCAAGTGCTACCATGTAGGAGGGACTGATGTTAACAGCGTGGGGTGGGGATATGCAGCGCAGAAGTTTGCCTGATGTTAAGAATGCTGATACTATTTTGTGCTACTTCCAGCCACTGCAAACAACAGCATCGGCTTTGTACGCACGTTAATGGCAAGGTGAGGTAGATACACCCATACAACCGCTGCTGACCCACAGTATAAGGGCGCAGACTGGGCTGGCACTGCCTATACTGGTTGCATCGCAACACAGCGTGCGCTGCGATTGGTTCATTCTAGCGCCGGAAGTGGTAGCGGCCACGCTTGAGCGCCCATGCAGCCACTCCCACTGTAGCACCCCCTAGGTGAGCTGCATGCCCGATGCGCGAACCGCCCTGAGGGGAACGGTATCATGATGGTGGGGTGGTGGTGGGAGGAGAAAGGGCACAGGGACAGGAGAGAGTGCTGTTGAAACCTCCCCGTACCACCTTATCATTGCGTGTTTGATAGATGCCCGATGGACGTGTGACAACGAAGGGAGGGAATGGGTTTGGGTAAAAATGGTTGCTTTAGGCACAGTGCGGAAAGAGATGCATTGCAGTGACTCAAAGCTTCAGAAAGTGGTCAAAGTTGGTAGAAAAGGGATGCAACGCCACAGTTAATCATGATAGTGTGCCCGTGCGCAGTGCACGGGTGAAAGAGTGAGGTGGAAGCGACTGCGACACGTGAGGGGCTTGGGAGTGTTCAAGTGAGCGAGAGGAAGGGGAGCGAAAGAGAGCGGCGGGAAGCTCTTGCTTGGGCAAGAAAGGGCAGAGCAGAAGAAGGGTGGTGCACATGGGAATGTCTGGTGTGTGTGGCTGGGTTGGTTACTGACCATAGCTGCTCCATACAGGTCTTGCCCTACGTACAGCACACCCTGCGAAAGAAAGAGGCAAGCAAAAAGGGTTTCACAAAGGAGACGAATGAGAACGCAGGTAAGGTTGGAATAAGGCTGAGCAGCAGGCTCATGGGGTGTGGCTGGGAGAGAAGAAGCATGGGTTCGAAACATCTGTTGCTGGCGGCCTGCATGTATCAACAACGGTAAAGCGCGAGAGAGCAGAAGCGGGTGATGAGATGATGCAGGCCGCCAGCAGTAGATATATCACATGGAGGGCACTGGGCACACAGAAGCCACTCTTCACAAGAAAAAGGGAGTGCGTAGGGATGCTAAAGCGAAGGAGGATGGCACGTGTGGGCTGCAACACTTCTGGAGTCGCCTCAAAAGTCACCTCCTTACAATGTCACATGAAACTCACTCCATTGAGTTGGCTCAGAAGCCACTTGTCATAAGGAAAGCAACGGGCTTTGAAAAGGCACTTCTTACAAGGAGAATGGAGGGCACGGGGATGATGAAGTTGAGGTAGATGATCCGCATGGGCTGCAGCAGACAGCTGAAGAGCACTATGGCGTTCACCGCTCCACTCGCACCCTGCCATGCCATGCCATGCCATGCCATGTGGTAGCAGGGAATACCATGTTCCAATCCGGTGCCATAAGATTGATACGTGGCAGCAGGTCGTATGTCTACAAACGGGAACAACAAGTTTTTTTTTGCGCGAAGTAATAGATTAGATGCGACCACAGATAGCACTACAACGTTTGCAGCTCCAATGGCGCAGTGCCACGTGGCAGGGAGGTGCGGTGGCAGGTGCAGCAGGCAAGAGGAATGAAGAAGAGGAGGAGGAGGACGAGGAGGAGGAGAAGGAGGAGCAGGAGCATCGGTGTTGAAAAACTGCAGCAAAGTGCATGTTGCAATGCAAAGCGCAGTGCGCGGTGCAGTGCGGTGCTTATCGTGGTGTGTTTTGCGTCGACTCAAAACACACCTGGAGCAGCGCATTGAGCAGAGCGTGGTGCAGTGTAGTGCAGTGCGGTGCAGCTCAGTGAGCAGAGCGTGGTGCAGTGTAGTGCAGTGCGGTGCAGCGCGGTTCATGTCATACCATGGCTGGAGGCGAGAGGCGTGGATGCCAAGCCCATACAGACTTTGTCTGGAATCAAAACGTGAAGAGGCAAAGGCGAGAAAGAAGAAAGAAACTGAAACGGATGGAAGGGCAGGGAGTGAGTGAGGGAGCAGTGCACTGGAAGTAGAAAACCTGAGCCAGCACCACCACCTCTCCTCTAACCCGCCAACTATATAACCTGCCCCCTCCCTGCCCCTCCACTCCCCCCCCACACCCTCCCACCTCCCCCCCTCACATCGGTCCTGGGCACGATGCACTGAAAGTAGAACACGTGTACCAGCGATGCCACCACCACCCCTCCCCCGCCCCATATTCCTACATTCCCCCCCAACTTCTCCCCCCTCCCCCTCCCCCCCCTCACATCGGTCCGGGGCACGATGTATTGAAAGTAGAACACGTGAGCCAGCGACGCCACAACTGCCCCCGATGTGTACAGCCCCAGCAGGTACCGCGGACCATACATGCGCGCCACCTGGGGGGGAGGGGGGGAGGGGGGTGAAGAACGTGTGACAACATACTGAGGTGATCTTGGAATGAGACGGTCTCAAAAGGCCGGCTCCGATGCGTACAGCCCCAGCAGGTACCGCGGACCATACATGCGCGCCACCTGGGGGGGAGGGGGGGAGGGGGGTGAAGAACGTGTGACAGCATACTGAGGTGATCTTGGAATGAGACGGTCTCAAAAGGCCGGCTCCGATGCGTACAGCCCCAGCAGGTACCGCGGCCCATACATGCGCACCACCTGGGAGGGGCGGGGATGGGTTAAAGAGGGAAGGGGGGAGAGAAGAATGTGTGACAATATACTGAGGTGACCTTGGGATGAGACGTCTCAAAAAGCTGGTTCTGACGCGTACAGCCCCGGCAGGTAGCGTGGCGTGGACCATACATGCGCGTCACCTGGGGGGGTGGGGGTGGGGGGATGTGTGACAACATGCGTGGCATCGACTTCCTAAATGAGATATGAGATACTTACCTTACCTCACAGCATTATACGTAAAATGCTTATCTTCCAGCTTTATAAGTGAGATACTATCTCTCAGCTTTATGAGTGAGATACTTACCTCACAGCTTTATAAGTGAGAGACTTATCTCGCCGCTTTAAAAGTGAGATGCTTACCTCACAGCGTTATACGTACGATACTTATCTCGCCGCTTCAAACGTGAGACACTTACCCCACAGCTATGTATATGACTCGGTACCTCGCAGCCGAAGAAGTAGAGTCCGAGCATGTTGAAGAGCAGACTGTTGAGAGGACTTTTCAAGAGTCATCTCACTACCCACTGCAATCTCCCTCATGGATTCGGCTGGGGGGTGCTTTACCTCGCAGCCGAAGAAGTAGAGGCCGAGCATGTTGAAGAGCAGGTGCCGCCCCTCGCGGTGGCTGATGGCTGATGTGAACAGCGTGTGGTAGCGCCCCTCGTACATCGCATTCACTGACACCTGTTGGAGAGTGCGGGCGTGAGTGTGTGTGAGTGAGGGTCAATTTTGAGAATTCTCAAGAGTGTGGGAGTGTGAGTGCTGATGTGAACAGCGTGTGGTAGCGCCCCTCGTGCATCGCATTCACTGACACCTGCCAGCACGTGAGGGAGTGAGTGAGGGAGTGAGTGCGTGTGTCAGTGTGAGTGCGCATGAGTGTGCGTGAGTGAGTGAGTTAGTGAGGGTGAGTGAGGATGCGGTGGGCATGAGCGGGTGAGGTTGAGTGAGGGTGAAGGTGAGAGCGCGAGGGCAGATGGTTGTGCAGGTGGAGAGGGAGGGGATGAGGAGGGGAGAGGGGGTGTAGAATGCTGCGATCCTGTCCCACGGGCCACAACTCCCATGATACAGAACCCTCTTTCCACTCATGTACAATGGTCATGGCACATAACTAACTCCCTCCTTCCCCACCTCCCTCCCTCCCTCCCTCCCTCCCTCCCTCCCTCCCTCCCTCCCTCCCTCCCTCCCTCCCTCCCTCCCTCCCTCCCTCCCTCCCTTTCTCCCTCCCTCCACACCCTCCATCCCTCCACACCCTCCCCCCCCCCACCCCCAGCGCACCATGAAGTTCCGCGCCATGACGGTCTGGTTCTGCGTGTGCCACGCGGCAAACACAGCCAGGTTGGTGGCAATGAGCGCCCACACCACGGCGTCTGGATGCCCGGATGCCCATGACTGCTTGCTGCTGCACACAAGGGGGCGGAGGTGGCGGGGAGGTGGGGGGAGTGGTGGGGGGAGAGGTAGGGGGGAAAGAGGGGGGAGGGGGATGTGGTGGGAGAGGTGGGGAAAGGTGTGAAGGGAGAGGTGGGGGGATGGTGGGGGGAGAGGTGGGGTGGCGGGAAGAGAGGTGGGGGAGAGTTATCAAGGGAAACACGAAGTTCTGGGTTGGCATAAAAATGAAAACGGCAAGAGCAAGAGCAAGGCAAGAGGAACACGGGAAAGGGGGAAGGGCAATGAGAGCATGTGCACCAAGTGCAGTGGCAAGGGCAAGAAGGGGCACTCGCAAGGGCAAGAAGGGCAATGGCAACAGCAAGGGCACGAAGGGCAATGGCAACAGCAAGGGCAAGGGGGGGGAGCGTACGACTGTCGGTGTTGAAGCCAGTTTGGCCCACGTTGAGGCACCCACGAGGCGAAGCTTCTGGTGAAGGTTCGAGTGAAAGCGAGTGCTTGAAGTGGGAGGCGAGTGAGGGGTAGAGCACGGGAGGCGAGGAGCGGGAGCATCAGCAGACGTTGCTGCTGCTGCTGCTGTTGCTGCTGCACGGCTTGCTGTATTCTTCGTCTCAGCGAGCCCAGTGACACTGCGAAGCCAGAAGAAAGTGAGAAGCTTCTTGCTGCTGCTGCAGCTGTAGCTGCCGTTGTAGTTGCTGCTGCTGTTACCCCTGTTACCCCTGTTGCTCTTGTTGCTCCAGCTGCCCCTGTTTTCAGTGCAGCAGCAGCAGCAGCTGATCCGTTCCTACCTGCACTCCTTCCAAAGGCCTCAAACACCACAGCTCTCGCCGACCCACTCACGCCAGCACACAACAGAGTTCTCAAAACGCCTGCTCGAGCCCCTGCTGCTACCACTGTTGCCCCTGCTGCTCCTGCTATCCCTGCTGTTGCTGCTCCTGCTGCTGCTGCCGCTCCTGCTCCCGCGGTTGTTGCTGCTATTCTCGTTGCGTTTAATCCCAGGAATCCCCGCGCGTGACCTGCAGCGTGCTGCTGCTGCGGCAGCAGCGACAGCGAAGCATGCCCTGCACTGGCGCTAGCGGCGTGACTGGCGGCGGGTCTGCGCGCAAGAGAGGCTAGACGGAGGGCCATGGCGAGAGGCTGTAACAGCTGCGCGTGCGGAGAGCGGAGAGCGGAGCAGGGAGCGCGGGGCGGGGAGAGCGGGGCGGGAACAGAGTGGAGAGAGCGGGGAGGGGAGTGCGGGCGCGGGGAGGGATCTGGAATTCCACTCGTTACTTCCTAAGTAGTCAGCCCAACGATACACCGTGAGAGGGGCGAAGGGCTATTATCCTAGCAATTCGTATCCCTCCACTCCGCAGCGCATTCGCTCAGAAGCAATGGTATCTCCACGACGGATCGCCTTCGGTTTCTGACGCGTTGAACGAGCGACAGGTGATCTCGGGTCGGTCGGTCAAGGATCTGCCGGTCCGTCAGTCGGTCTGACGGTCGGCTGGCTCGCCGTCTTGGACGACGGCGTTGCAGTAGCACGTCTAGTTGCTAGCGGCGATTGCTGGTGGTGAGAGGTTCAGGAGCTGCTGCGTATTCGGAAGCTGGGAAAGTGGATGGAAGAATTTGTTTCATATTTCGCGCTATAGGCCTGGCCGATATGCGGGTACATCACTGCATGTACCACCAATTCACAACTATGGTAGCAAAAAAACGAGAATGCTAAGAGACCTGACACACACCGTCAGTACCTCATACTCAAATAGCATGCAGGATGAAGAGAATCGTAACTGGTGTAATTCTTCCCGGCATAATCTTAAGGAGGAGCAGCTTTATTGCGAGAACATGGAGTGGATCAGAGCAGATCACAAGCAGTTGCTGAGGCAGGGGGGTATGTAATGTATGTACTACTACCGTAATGTCACAAGTGGGGGGGGGTGCGGTACCATAAGAAGTACCGTAGCTGCAGTTCGTAAAGAATCTTAATCCCTCGTTTTTCCCCACGGCAAACCAAACTACAGAACACTACACTACACCACACCACACCACACCATACCACAGGGCAGCAAGAGATTGGCCCTCCTTCCCCCATTAACTGAACAGGGAAACAAGTTGTTAGCACCCAGCAGCTAAGAACTAAAGGTGATTAGGGTGTTAGAGTACGGTAATAAGTTAGAGTACATGCAGCAGCTGCAGCAGGCGCACACACACAGTACACATGGTGGCGGCAGCGGGGGCAGCAGCAACAGCGGCAGCAACAGCAGCGGCAACAGCGGCAGCAGCAGCAGCAGCAACAGCGGCAGCAACAGCGGCAGCGAGCAGCAGCAGCAACAGCGGCAGCAACAGAGGCAGCAACAGCGGCAGCAACAGCAGCAGCAACAGCGGCAGCAGCAGCGGTAGCGGTATCAGCAAGCATGAACAGCAGGGCCATGGATATCCAGGTGGTTGTCTAGAGTTTCTCAGGCAGTCTCACTCAGACACCGCCAACGCCACCGCCACCACCTCAGCAAGTAGCAAGTGTCAGTGTCATGGATGCTGGATGCCCGGTAGCAGCAGTAGCACCTTCGGAACCACTGACTTTACAGGCGGCGGCGACTAGTTTCAAGTAAGCAGTAGCATATGGGCGACATGAGCGAATGATCGCTTTTGAGAGCTCTCAAAGGTTGATCACGGCCCTCTGATCTGAAGCTTTCTACATCCGCCTCAGCGAGCGTCGTCAGCGGTGTCTTGGATGTCGAGGGAGAGCCAGGGGCGTGGTGGGATGGTGCGTGGCGTGGCACTAGAGCGCGAGTAGCTGAGCGGCAGAGGGGACACCATACTCGTTGACGGGTCCGCCTGCGAGAGATGGAGGAGATGGGAGCGTGTGAGGGGGAGGAGGGGTAGAGCGTGAGAGAAGGGAGGGGGGAAGAGATGGAGCTGGGGGGGCAGCAGAGAGAGGGTGGTTGGCGGTGGCAGCAAGGAAGAGATGCTACGGCAGCGGGCATGAGAGCACACAGTGCATAGGAAGCTGGCAGGTCAAGGCACGACAAGTGACAGCTCCGACAGTTAGATAAGCACAGCGCACGGACAGAGGATTGGGAAAGAGAATACGTGGGCAAAGAGCTTGGATTGGAGAAGAGGGGAGCAGGCATGGGGAAACGGGTGGGTGGGTGGGTGTGTGTGTGTGTGTGAGAGCACTGACCGGCAGAAGCTCCACGGGCCCAGTCATTGCTGCTGCTGCTGCTGCTGCCGCTGCTGCCGCTGCCACGGCTGCAAGGCCAGGGGGGCCGGGGGAGAAGCGAGGCGGCGGCATCATAGAGCTGCCTCCCAGCCGTCCGATCGACGACGGCCCCGCCGCGGTTGATCCAACGGCCCTGGTGCCTGAAGTTAGCGGCTCGGCGATTGCTGTTGCAGGCTCTGCTGCTGCTGCCACGGTTACGGTTTGGATTGTTGTTTCTGCTGATGCTTGTGCGTTTGCGGGAGCATTTAGAGAGTCAGTACCTCTATCAGTACCAGTATCAGTGGCAGTGGCAGCGGCAGCAGCAGTTGTTGTACTATCACCGTTGATTCCTGACCCACTTTCACTGGCAGAAGCAGCAGCAGCAGCAGCAGCAGGAGAGGCAGAGGAAGTAGAATCCCCAGGGCGGCAAGCAGCTGCAGTTGTTGCTGAGGAGTTCGGTTCAAGTTGCTTTGCTGTTGCTGCCTCTTCTCCTACTCTCCCCCCCTCCTCCCCTCCTCCTGCTCCTCCTCTTCCTCCTCCTCCTTCACCCACTGCAGCATCCGCGGCACCACTACCGCTGGCACTCCCTCCCCTCAAACCACCAGCACCATCCCCATCATCATTACCACTCCCCGTACAACCACCACCACCACCAGCAGCACCACCGTTTTTCTCACCACCAGAAGCGTCTCTTCCACTGCCACCACCATCACCCGCACCCTCGCCAACACCACCACCATTCCCACCACGCCCTTCCACATCCTCCTCCTGCCCCTCCGCCCGCTCCTGACCCTCCTGCCCCTCCTGCTGCTCTCGCCCCTCCAGCCCCTCTTGCCCTCCCTGCCCCTCCGTCCCCTCTACCCCCTCCTGCCCTTCCGCCCCTTCCTCCTCCGCAATACTCCTTACCATCTTCATAAACGACCGAGTCCGTGAAAAGAAGGGCACGGCAGGGGACACCAAGGGCTTGTCAAACGCCGTGAGCTCCCGCACGGCCGCGCCCGCACTGTGCGGCTTGGGGAAGGCTGCACTCAAGGGCGTGGGTGGGATGATGTGCGGGCTGGGGAGCACCACCCCCTCCATCTCCGTTGTTTCTGAGGCCATGTCCCAGAACTGGCCGTCGCTGCCCCATGGACTGGTGGGCGAGGAGAGGGAATGGGAGGGAGCGAGAGGGGGGGTGGAAGTTGGGAAGAAACAGAACGTGAGTGAACGGGAATGGTGCTGGGGAGAACTACCCCTTCCATCTCTGTTGTTTCTGAGGCTTAGACCTAGAACAGGCCGTCGCTGCCCCATGGACTGGTGGGATGGGATGAGTGAGGGATGGGTGAGGAGTGGGGATGGGAGGGAGGGAGATGACGGGGGGGAGAGTGTTGGGAGAAACGGGGAGTGAGTTGAAGGGAATGTGGATAGGGAGGGTGAAGAGAGAGGAGGAGGATGGGGTGAAGGGTGGGGATGAGTTGAGGGAGGGTAAGAGCATACCAGACCGACAGACCACTTGTTGGAGAACCCACACACGGCAGAGCAGAGCAGAGCAGAGCAGACAGTGAAAGGACAATCAAATGCGCAGAGATTAAAGGCGTGCATGACTTTTGAGGCGCCTCAAAAGCAATAAAACGCGCAGGGTTTAAAGGGGTACATGGAAACTTGAACCAACCATGGCTGCAATACCAAACCAAGCCAATTAAAACCAAGCCAAGCAAAGCCAAACCAGGCCAAGCCCAGCCCAAGAGTCCATGCATTCGCTTCGCCTTGAACAAGGTGGGCCTTCATACCTGAACACGCAGTAGTCCAACCTGAACCCCACCAGACAGACACACGCACCTTCTGGGAGGAAAGGGGCTCATGAAGGCATGCCCGCCTCCTGGCAATCCCCCTGCAGCAGCCCCACCAGCAGCGGCAGCAGCAGAGGAGAACGCAGCAGCGGCCGCAGCAGCCGCCGCAGCGGCAGTCATTGCTGCTGCTGCACCTCCTGCTCCGGGCGAGGGAGCGGCCAAGAGAGGGTGGTCTGCACGGCCGTTGTCAGAAGGAATGACCACGGATAGCACTCGGAAGGCGGATGGTCTCTTCCTTGCCCCTGCAAGGGCTGCTTGAGAAGCTGCTGCTGCTGCAGCGGCTGCGGCTACAGATGCTCCTGTTGGCGCCGGTGGCAGTGCTGCTGTCCCTGCTGCTGCTGGGGTTGAGGTGGGTGGGTGCATGGATTTGAGCAGTGGTGGTCGTGGAAGGATGCTAGATGCAGGGGAGAAGGCAGAGGCGGCAGCAGAGGCAGGTGCGGAGGCAGAGGCAGAGGCAGAGAAAGAGGAGGAGGCGGCAGAGCAAGGAGCGAGAGGTGGTCGTGAGCTTTGCACTGCTGTTACTGCTGCTGTTGTTGCTGCTGCTAATGCTGCTGCTGTAGCTGCTGCTGCTGCTGCTGATGATGATGTGGATAGAGGGGCCATTACCTCCTGACATCTTCTTGCCCCATCCACCATACCTCCAATCCTGTTTTCAACTCTATTATCTTCCCTATCTCCACCTATCCCTACCCCTGCCCCTGTCTGTGCCCTTCCCTCCACCACCCTCTCTTCATCTCCTTCCCCTGCACCCTGACTCTGCCGTTGTTCCTGCGACGCAAAACCCCTTCTCCTGCCTGGATTGTCGTTCTCCTCTTCACCAACAGCACCCTCCTGGTGTTCTGATTCTCTATGCCTTCTTCCCATACCATTGCCCCTCGCTTGTTTGCACTGCTCCTGCTGCAATGCCTTCCCCTCCTCTTCTTCTTCCTCTCCTCCCTCCGCCCCTTCTCCACGCCCCCACGCCCCACGCACCTGCCCTGAGGAGGGGTGACTAGGAAGGGAATGCACCAAAGCCTGTGCAAGTGCGTTTGGGTGCGAGTGCGGGTGCGTGTACGGACGAGGGATTGATTGCGAGAGAGAGTGCGGGTAGGGATGAGGCAGCGAGTGCGTGTACGGGTAAGGGTGGAGAAACGCAGATGACCCGATCGGTCCACACGTCCCTCCAGCAGCAGCAGCAGCCGCAGCAGCAGCGGCAGCAGCAGCAGCTCCCGCCGCTGCAGCAGCAGCCATAGCAGCAGCGCTACCCCCACCAGCACCAGCGCCAGCCTCCATTCCCGTTCCCGTTACCCCCGGAACTGCCGCACCCACAGGGCGAGGCAGGTGGTTGGAGTTGGAGGTAGCGAGCAGAGACGCCACGCGCTGCAGGTGCTCCAGCGACAGCCCAGAGATCAATCCCGGCGCTGGGGATCCCCCAGAGCACCCTGCCGACGCTGCCACCGCTGCTGCTGCCGCCGCTGCCGCTGCTGCAGCCGCTGCTGCCGGTGGCGGGGGAGGGGAGGCGTGGGGTAGATGCTGATGATGCTGGTGATGCTGCTGCTGGTGGTGGTGGTGGTGGTGGTGATGGGGATGGTGCTGGTGGTGCGGGTGTTGAGGTAGAGCGGGTGCTGTTGCTTGGTGGTGGTTGGCCAGGGAGGCAGCGAGAGCAGCAGAGGGGTCAAGGGGAGGGGCGGTGGGGGCAGCAGCAGCACGGCCGGACTGTCTAGCAGCGCGCAGTAGCTGCCTGATGACGCTCGTAGGAGACACCTCTGCTGCTGCTGCTGCTGCTCCCCCACCACTCTCTGCTGCTGCCCCTCCTGCTTCGGCTTCTCCTCCTGCCCCTTCTCCTCCTCCTGCTGCTGCTGCTGCTGCTGCGTCAGCTGTTGCGTCGGCTGCTGCTGCTGCGGCTACTAGCTGCATTCCTCTAGAGTTACCCCTTGCAGCCCCTCCAGTATGACCAGCAACAGCAGACGCAGCAGCAGCATTACTAGCACCACGGTCTTCCTCCCTCCCGCCACCACCATATACCCCCTCACCCTTCAACTCACCCTCACCCTCCCCCCTCTCTGCCCTCCCTTCGAACCCCCCGCGCTCTCCTCTCCCAATCCCCCTTCCACTTTCCTCCCTCATCCAACCCCCCGTTGCAATTCCCTCCTCGCCCTTCACCCCATGCGACCCCCCTCTGCCTCGCTGCCCGCCCCTCTTCTCACTCCTCCACACGCCATTCCCACCTAGTAGTGCCAGTGCTGCGCTTGCCACTGCCCCCTGCCCCTCCGCCGCCCCCTGCTCCTCAACCTTGGCCCATCCGTCCCTGTTACCACCACCACAACCACCACCACCACCACCCACGGCACCATACGACGTCTTGAGCCGTTGCAACTGCTGCCCGTGAGTGCTCGTGCTGCCCACATCACTTCCCGGAGGTTTTCTTTTGGTAGAGCTGCTGGGGGATCCGGCACGTAGGTGCGACTGTAGCTGCTGCTGTTGCTGCTGCTGTTGGTGCTGCTGATGCTGCTGCTGCTGCTGCTGCTGCTGCTGCTGCTGCTGCTGCTGCTGCTGCTGCTGCTGCTGCTGCTGCTGCTGCTGCTGCTGCTGCTGCTGCTGCTGCTGCTGCTGCTGCTGCTGCTGCTGCTGCTGCTGCTGCTGCTGCTGCTGCTGCTGCTGCTGCTGCTGCTGCTGCTGCTGCTGCTGCTGCGTTCCCTTGTGTGACTGCTCCTCCTCCTGTTGCTGCTTCAGCTGTTGCAGCTGCTGCAGCAGCTCCTGCAGGTCCCCCTCTGTCTTGCCACTCAGAAGGCTCTCAAGCCCCTTAGCTGCTTGCTCCAAGCTCTCCAATGCTGCTGATCCTTTCCCCTTCTCTCTCCCTCTCCTCCCTCCTCCTCCTCTTCCTCCTCCTCCCTCATCTCTTCCCTCTCCCCACCCTCCCACACCGCCCTCCCCCATTTCACCCTCCCCACTCTCTCCTTCTCCACCCGTTCTTCCCCTCGCCCCTCTTCCCATCACACCCTCCCCTTCCCTTCCCTCCCCCTCCCCTCCCAACCCTTCGCACTTGACCATTTGCCCTTGGGGAAAACAATGCTCCCCTCCTCCTCCCCCCCCTTCCTCCACACCCATCCGCTCCACGTCCGACCTATACTGGCCTCCTGAAACATTCCCACCAGCAGACGCGGCAGCGAAGGCTGGAAGATGGAGGGCCGAAGCGTGGCTGGGCGCGTGTGTGGGGAGAGAGAGTGGGAGAGAGGAGGGGAGAGAGGAGGGGAGAGAGGAGGGAAGAGTGAGGGAGGAGGAGGCAGAGGTGGTGGAGATAGAGGCAGAAGCAGAGGTGGATGGACCTGCTGTGGTGGCTGTGGGGTTGGCTGCGGGGGGAGGAGGGGGAGCGGTAGCATGTACAGCAGCAGGAGGCAGGGGAAGGAGTGATGCAGCAACACCACCACCACCATCAACAGCAGCGGAGGAAGCAGCACCAGCGAAAGGATCGGGAGGCGAAAGGCATGCGGCGGCCGCAGCAGAAGCAGCGTGGTCAAGAAGAGCAGCAGCCACAGCAGTGTTCTGAAGACCGGGAAGCGCAGCAGTTAGAGTTGCGTGAGCGGTGGTTGCAGCGGCAGCAGTGGGAGCGAGGGGAAAGGGGGCCTTCTTGACGCCCTTGTGAGGGCGGGTGGAGGCGCTACCTGGGGGAGGGCCCCTCTTGTGCGGCTTGCTGGGCACGTGATCTGGGGAGAGGGACGAAGAGGGGGGAGGGAAGGAGGAGGGCAGGGAAGGAGGGGAGGGCAGGGAAGGGGGGTGAGGTGAGGGGATAGTCTGAGACGATTTGAGAGCGTGATGGAGTGGATGGAGAGGAGAGGAAGGTGCAGGAGACGCAAGCACGCCTGAACACACACACGCACGCCCACACACCCCTCTCTCTCCCACCCCACCCCACACACACCCTCGGAGCCCCCAGACCAACCCCACCCACCCACCCGCACGCGCAAACGGGCATGAAGGGGTTGATGGGAGAGGGGGGCGAAAGCAGGTGACAAGGCCAGCGGAGCGGATACAGGCAGAGACGAGAACGGATGGAGAGGCGTGCGAATGGGAGAAGAAGGGCACCAAGGCGAGGGGTACGGGAGAAACAGAAACGGAGCAACAGGGGATGCGATTGGGGGACTGCGAGTCTGAATGCAAGGGTAGGGGTCGTGGGGGGTGGGGGGTGGGGGGTGGGGGGTGCGGGAGTGAAAGGGGGAGGAGGGAGGGGGGGTTGTGCGGGGGCTGGGGGGATGGGGGTGGGGGCGAGAGCAACCTGGCGGGAGGGAGGAGAGGGGGAGGTGCGTGTCGGGGTCGAGCCCCTCCTCCCTTAGCTTCTTCTTGATGCGCGTGTTCCAGTGGTTCTTTATGTCGTTGTCCGTGCGCCCTGGCAGCTCCAGTGCTATCTTCGCCCACCTGCACCGCACCGCACCGCACAGCACAGCACAGCACAGCACAGCACAGCACAGCGCAGCACAGCACAGCACAGCACAGCACAGCACAGCGCAGCACAGTGCAGCACAGCGCAGCGCAGCACAGCACAGCGCAGCACAGCGCAGCACAGCGCAGCACAGCGCAGCGCAGCACAGCACAGCACAGCGCGCACCAGCAAGAAAAAGGGGAAAAGGGAGGAACACGAGACGGCAGAGAAGGGGTGGGTGGGTACGAGGGTCCAGTGGTTCTTCATGTCATTGTCCTGTCCGTGCGTCTATGTTTTGAGTCGACTCAAAAGTAGGCTCTTGATGTCAATGTCTGTTCGCCCTGGCAGCAGCTCCAACGCTATCTCCGCCCACCTGCGCACACAGCCGCAAAAGAACATCCGGGGAGGGGGAAGGGGAAAGTGGGGGAGGGTTGCGGCGGGAGGGAGGAGCGGAGGGGGGGAGTGTCAAGAAAGCTTGGGGAAGGGGTAGGTACATGGGCAAAGGAATTGGGCTGGGTAGGTAGGTAGGTAGGTAGGTAGGTAGGTAGGTAGGTAGGTAGGTACGTACGTACATGGTCCTTAGGTACTTGTACTTCCCCATCCATGTCAGCGCCTGCCGCGCTGTGCTGTGTCTACCAGGGCTGCTCTGCACTAGAGCTTCCTTCTTGGGCCACACTCACTCACTGGGCTGCTGTATTCTAGCCGGCACAGCGCGGTGCTGTGTTGTGTGTGGTGGTGATGGTGGGTGGGACCAGACCAGACAACAGACAACAAGGAATGACCCTTCCTCTTCTCCTCCCTCCTCTCTCCCAAACCTTCTTCTAGCTCATGCTCTCCCTCAATCTCCCCTCCCCACCACCTCTATCCTTCCGCTCCCTTGCTCTGTGCTTCCTCCCTAGCCCCTCCACCAGATTCCCCATAGCAGCATGTATTCCCCATCGCCTCCCCCACCTTCGCACATCCCCCTACCCCAACCATCTGTTGCCCTCCCTCCTCCTCCCCACCTGTTGCCCCCTCTAACCGCACATGTTGCCCATTCCCCCCCCCACCCGCCCCCCCACCCGCACCTGTTGCCCATGCTCTTGTGCAGCGCCACAATGAGGTGAGGTCCTCCTCCTCCTCGCACGTGAACGTGCCTCGTGTCGTCTCAAAAACCGACCCATCTCACCCCACCTGTTGCCCCATCCTTCCCCCCACCGCACCTGTTGCCCCATCCTTCCCCCCACCGCACCTGTTGCCCCATCCTTCCCCCCACGCGCACCTGTTGCCCCATCCTTCCCCCCACCGCACCTGTTGCCCCATCCTTCCCCCCACCGCACCTGTTGCCCCATCCTTCCCCCCACCGCACCTGTTGCCCCATCCTTCCCCCCACCGCACCTGTTGCCCCATCCTTCCCCCCACGCGCACCTGTTGCCCCATCCTTCCCCCCACCGCACCTGTTGCCCCATCCTTCCCCCCACCGCACCTGTTGCCCCATCCTTCCCCCCACCGCACCTGTTGCCCCATCCCTCCCCCACCCCGCACCTGTTGCCCATGCTCTTGTGCAGCGCCACAATGAGGTCCTCCTCCTCGCACGTGAACGTGCCTCGCTTCAGGTCCGGGCGCAGGTAGTTGGCCCACCGCAGGCGACAGCTCTTGCCACACCGCTGCAGCCCTGGTGGGGTGGGGGAGGGACAGGGAGGGGGGGATCGGTCTTCAGGAGGAAGAGAACGGAGCATGTGGAAGAAAGATATGGCCGCAGGTAGTTGGTTGGCCCACTGGCAGGCGACAGCTCTTGCCACACCGCTGCAGCCCTGCCCGGGGGGAGTGGGGGGTGGTGCGGGTGAGACGTGGAGGAGGGGGAGGGGAGGCGGAAGACTTTGAGACTAGGAGAAGGGATGTGGAGGAAGGGAAGGGAAGGGAAGGGAAGGGAAGGGAAGGGGAGGGAAGGGAAGGGAAGGGGAGGGAAGGGAAGGGAAGGGGAGGGAAGGGAAGGTCCAGCCGCGGGTAGTTGGCCCAGCGCAGCCAGCAGCTCTTCCCACACCGCTGCAGCCCTGCCCCGGGCACGGGACGCCTAGGGGAGTAGAAGAGCGCGGGGTGGGGTTGGGAAAGGGGGGAGGACGTGGAAGGAGAGGGGGGAGAGGAGGTGAGGGGTGTGGGGTGGGGAAAGAGAGGAGAAGGAAGTGGGGAGGAGAGGTATCGGAGTGGGTGGGGAGATGCGACGAGACAGCCAAAGCGTTCGGTCCATCCTCAACTCCCATCCCATGATGCCATCTCTGAAGGAGTAGACCAAACCTCTCAACAACCCCTCCTCTCCTACCCTCTCTTCTACTCTCTCTCTCCTCTCCCCTCCCCTCCCCTCCCCTCCCCTCCCCTCGCGTCTCCTCTCCTCTCTCCTCTCTCCTCTCTCATCTGCCTCTCCGCGCACCTCCCAGAATCACACCGCTGCGCTCACCCGCTTTCTTCGGCACGGAGCTCCAGTTACCCTCGCCGTGCTCGCGAATGCACTTCACCAGCAAATCATCCTCCTCCGCCGTCCACGGCCCTTTCCGCAACTCCCCCGCACCGCCGCCGCCGCCGCCACCTCCGCCGCCGCCGCTACCGCACCCGCCGCCGCCGCTGTTGGTAGCGCCGCCGTCCATTGCGGCGAACGAAACGGCTACTGCCGCCACCGCCGCAATCGGCGGAAGGAAAAGCGGGTATGTGCACAGCGGATTGGCTTAGCCTTCCTCTGCTGCCACTACCAGAATCGCCACCGCTACCGCTGCTATATTATCAATTAGCTTCAGCGGCGACGACGCTAGCTCCACCAGTTCCGTCGAGCAACACAAGGAGATACGGTTTTGAAAAGCAAAAGCTGACTCTTCGCCGGAAAGTGAGAATACTTCAGCGGCAACTATTGGCCATGGGGTCTCGAGCTTCAACCAAACCCTTTACAGGGTGCAACGTGCGTGAGACGGGAACCGGTGTGCAATATCCGGGAGTGCGTTGAATCACTCGCGCCTCCAGCGTCGTCCTTAATCTTTTCTTCCTAGCGTTGCGAATTCAGAGACGGGGCCTGATTCCGGCAACGGATTATGCGCCATGGGCTGATGCGTCGACTGCTACCGCGTGGTTTCCGAACGTCAAGAGAAACGAGATAGTTCACTTCGGAGACGACGCTTGAGTCGAAGATGAGAGACGGGAAGCGAGACAATACTAATCTACTCCACCAGAGAAATGGTTATTGAACATGTGACGTCATGCAGCCTTCTCCTTCGCAAGAAAGAAAGGTTTGCGGGGCCGGTCAGTGTACCATTCTACATTCGACCATGTCAAGCCCCTGAAACAGTAGCTTCTCGCACAGACGGCCTTCGAGACCCAGTTCTGATGTCTTTAATGTCGAAGGCCTTGGTAGTCCTCGAATTGGAACAGCTAAACAGGTGGTGAATATGCTAACCTCTGAAAGCCACTCCTACCTCGCTCCTGTCTAGGTAACTCGTCACGCCGCAGCGCTCGTGACTAATTCGCTTCTTCACGCTTCACGACCTTATGAGTCCGAGCTCCCTCATTCTAATGCCCGCAATGCCTCGCGCGAATTTCGTCCATAATGGTGCTCCTCCTGCGAAATAGCGCTCATCCTTTTTATCAATCAGCCCCTCTCTCCTGTCAATCCAACCAGCCAAGCCCACGCCTACTTGTCTCTGTTCTAGCTGAACCGCGCCAAGGGTGATTGCTGTGAGCTCCTGCTGCTGCTGAGGTTACTGGTCGAATCAAAACAGACTTGCCATTGCCTTATCATTTCTCCCTCCCCTGTTGATGCGCGCAGTGGAGCTAGACGAGAACGAAAACTATTCTTCGCCTCGTTGGAGTTAGGTGAGAATGCTGGGCCAAAAGATGGAGGTTTGGCTTTTCCGAACCTGAAAGTTCGCCCTCGTCTGCGATTTCTATCGTCGTTCGGCATTTCAGTGAAACTGTGTTACCTGCAACTTGCCGAGCCTAAACAGCCGCTTCGCTGGCCCACCGCGAACCAGCTCACCAACCAGCAAAAACTGCTCCGGCAGGGCGGTGGTAACCCGAGCTTCAGCGTGGGGCTCATGGGCTGATGGGGGGGTCTCGCGCCAACTTCTGCTGTTGCGCTTCGTTTTGCGGTACAACCCCCAGTTGCGGGAAAAAAAAGTTCACACCCTCGCCACAAGGATGCATTCTGGCTTCGTGTCAAGATTCTGGTACCCGTGCTTGACATGAGCGGAAGACCCGAAGTAGCGAACCCAAGCATTTTACGGAGTTTGTAGACCCAAAGCAGGCTTCGTTGACCCTAAGTGGACCTAACCGTAAATTCGACACGAATCCAGAATGCGCCTTACTCCCGCATAAAAAAAACCGATATCCGTTTCGCATGCGCAAGTCCCAACACATCCCGATCAGGGCTGAAGTTAGGCTTTTCGCCAACTCGGACGTTTTGGCTCCCTTACAAAAATGCCCTGAAAACGCAGGGTCAGCCCAAAAACCGCTCGGAAAAGTCAGGGCTGGCCTAAAAATTCCTCGTTTACGTATTTCGATAGTTCCGCGGCTATGGAGAGGAGACTTCTGACAAAAGCTGATGTTCAAACTCTGTGTGTTGGTGCACTGCAGCTTTTGTGTGGACCTCTGCTCACAGGGAGCAAGTATAGATGCCTCCGAATTTGATCAAGGAAAAGAGGGGCGGGAGGGAAGCATTTACAAGTCCACGAAGAGGGGGAGAAGTTTACTAGTGTTGAAAGGGAGGGGGGGAGGTTGGGGGTGTTTAGAGCCTTACAAAAAGTTCCGAGTGCTTCGAGGGAGTACTCGGATTCATCAGAGTCAGTCCTGGAACAGCTCGGATTTAGTCAGGGCTGGCGGATAAAGTCCCCTGTAAAAATCCGAGTTTGGCTGAAAAATACCTTGGATTTTCAGTCAAGAACGAGCATTTACCCTGTAGCCTGAGCCCTGATCCCGATACCGAATGTACTGAAGGGCGTATTTCTAAATGCCTGTCGAAATAGGAACACCTGCGGTACCTGGTGTGGCGAAAGAAGTTGCGATTCAAGTTTCAGTAAAATGAACCTGTGAACAGTACAATACCGCTGCGTGGGTCCAAAACATTTGACACTGCTCCATATGCGCCGCGCGGCAGCTTGTCTTGCAGCAAAGCTGCCGGTTTTTTCACAACCACAAACGATTCTGTACAGTACATGTATTTGTTTGGCTGAGGTTGGGCCACTTCATCCAGTGTGTCAGAATACACATCCAACCGCCACAAAAAATGTTCACGTCCAAAAGCATCATCCACGCTCTACACTACTTCCACCAAGCGCCCTACACTAACCCAATATATACAGCAGAACCTACGGCTTTCACAATCTTGACTGCATCTTGAGTTGAGGGACACTTATTCAAACAAGCATTGGGATTCATTTACAAAACGGTTACCTGGCTTGCCTTCATCTCATGGAAACAATGGTGCAAGTCATATGTAGACCACGCCCTGGTCCGCAAACCCATTGTAGGACCGCAATCTGAAGGGGGAAATCTGATACAGTCTAAGTCCGCTAGAGGCTCTTAGAATAGGAATGCAACGGAATGAGCGAAACTAGAAAGTGTGAGAGTACAAATATGCAACCTTAACAACTGTACTCCCTATTGTGCTACTCACTGTAGCCTACAAGCATAAAATTGCATTTGACACACCCCCATAGGCTAAGTGAGGGGCATCAAAGCAAGCAAGGTGAACAAACGGTCACAAGACCAGTCAAAGCAAGAAACAAGGCAAGCTCAGGGTGGATCTCAAGGACACCACACAAATTCCGAGCGCAAGCAAGCGGCCACAAGGCCAGTTCAAGAGTTCACTAGGATATAAATAGGAAGCACAACAAGCAGAGCAAACAACAAGACTACAGCAACCGAAGGCCTACCTCAACAAGCCCCAATTGCACACAGAACCTGTGGTGATCACCAAGCGCCAAGGCCTTGGTGAAGACGTCTGCGGTGTTGGCCTCTGAGGCCACAAAGTCCAGGCGTGCCTGGCCGCGTCGCTGCAGCTCTCGCAGGAGGAAGTACCTCACGTCAATATGCTTCACTCTGCTCTCCAGTCGAGGCTCTCGACACAGGAGGATCATGGCCTTGTTGTCAGCGTACAAGGTCGGTGCAGAGCGAGGCCGCTCACCAAGGTCGGCGAGCAAGAAGGTCAACCAACGAAGCTCCTGTGCCGCCATGGCACCCGCGTAGATCTCTGCCTCTGCACTGGAAGTAGCCACAGACGACGACCGCGTAGACCTCCACGACACAGCACCAGCTCCCAGACTGAAGCAGTAACCCTGAGTCGAGCGCTGAGTCTCCACGTCGTCAGCGTAGGAAGAGTCGCAGTGACCAGTCAACGCCACTGGCTGAGTCCCTCCAAGCACAAGCCCCATGCCTGATGTAGTCGCCAGGTACTTCGCCACCCTCACAGCAGCTGTCCAGAGGACAGGACGGTGTCTCCCAGTCGCAACAAAGCGAGAGAGGATGCTGAGGGGAAAGGCGAGGTCCGGCCGAGTACAAGTCATCAGGTACATGAGGCAGCCCACAAGCTCTGCGTAGGGACCACTGGGCTCAAAGGGCTCGTCAGGAAAGGGGCCAGTGAGTCGGTGGTCAACAGCAAGAGGAGTGGGCTGTGTGGTGGAGAACTGGAAGTCGAACCGCCGAAGGACCTGCTGCACCATGTGTGACTGCGTCAGTGTGATGGTGCGAGCGGCTCTGTCCCTGGTGATCTGCAGGCCAAGGTAGCGCTGCAGCTCACCCAGGTCAGTGCACTTGTGTCTCTTCTGCAGTTCGGACTTCACCTGAGCCAGGGCTGCCCTGTCTGCGGTAGCAAACACCAAGTCGTCGACGTAGACAAGGATAAAGAAAGGAGTAGAACCCGCTCGAACAAACAGCGACGGGTCGGCGGAGGACGGGCTGAACCCAAGGTCACGAAGCGTGGAGCGAAGAGTGTCGTGCCACTCACGGGGCGACTGGCGGAGACCGTAGACTGGTCGCCTCAGGCTCCACTGGGTCCCAGGTGGGAAGGTGTGCTGCTATGTGGAGTAGCACCCGAAGAGTAGTCATCTTCGGGGTCGGGGCGAAGGTCTGGAAGAAGTCAACTCCCTCACGCTGACTGAAGCCCCTAGCCACGTAGCGCGCCTTGAACACCGGCGGTGCTCCAGGCGGCCGCTTCACCTTGAAGAGCCACATGCCATCGACTACGTTCGCCCTGGGAGGGGGAACTGCGTCCACGTAGGTGCCTGTGGATCTCCAAGACGCCAACTCTGAGTCCATAGCCGCTTTCCACTGAGAGGCCCACGCCCCTGACACTGCCTCGCGGTAAGTGCGAGGAGTCGGTATTTCAAGGGCGTCGGGGTCTCCCTCAGGGGAGAGCAGCATGGCACACACATAGGGAGAAGCGGCTACCCAGTACTCCAGCTCAGACTCTCTGTCCTCTAGGACGTCACAGCCAAGGGCAAACCCACCCCCGACGGACAGAGGACGGTAGGGAGGAGCTGGCACCACACGGGTGGCGTAGTCAAGGCGGCTGGCGGCAGCAAACTCAGCGACAGCGGCAGTAAGAGCCGAGGCAGACGACGGAGGGAAACGAGAGTCGGTGACAAGAGTGGCGAGGACACGTGCG